TATTTTATTGAATTCAGAGCACCAGGGAAGATTTAACGTGATTAAACTCATTTTGTTTGCGTAAATTACTTTTTACATTAAATAGATTGCACTTCAATCTAAACATCAAAGAGTTTCTAATATTTGCATGATCGGAATCGATCTGATTTCAATATTGTAAATTCATCAATTTTTCATCAAATCATTGTTTTCAAAGTGATCCAAAACAATTAATGAACTTTTAATTTTGGTTTCCAAAGCAGGGACACTTTATGATGTGCAAACATCCTAATTTTCTCCTGAAGTACCCATGGTAAATAATCAGAAATAATGACTACATAGATCTTACCTTAATTGGAGAGTCGTAAATGACGGATAATAAATATTTGGTTAGGATTTCATGTAAATTTACTCCCCATTCGGTAATTGTTTAATAATGTTCCTGTCAATATTTCCCTGATTAATCAAACGGATTTGAAGGAGTATAAAAACCTGTTGTTTGTAAAATATGCTAATGACGAGATCCCGGATTTCTTTCTTAATGTTGGAAGTATAAAGTTAATCAGGTTCCAGGATTTCATCAGTCATTCTGGAATTAGATGGTTTTTAAAGTTTATTATGTGTGGATTATTGAAGACTTTTGTTTCCTAAAATTCTAAGGCTTTAAGTATTTTTGCAAAATGATAAGGATTGCCTATCTGAAGAGGAGTTGTCGTAACTTTAAATTATTCTGAAAAGTTTAATTGATTAATTGACATGTTTGAGAGAAAAATTAAAATTTAAAGGAGCAATATATTGTTAATTTTAAAATTATATATGTTTTTATAGATACATGTATGTTAGAAGTGATTAAATGAAAAACCACATGTTTAACTGGTCTAGGGAGAAGGGATCAACTTTAAGCATACATTTTAGATTATAGTTGTTCAAACTTATGAACAAGAGCATCTATGACCATGAGTTGCTCATAACCTTCACAGGTGCAAAAGGTGTTAAAACAATAAACCTTATGAACTGGATCATTTGTTAATTTGTAAGGTCAAGTTTTTTAAATTTGCTTTAGGTATTAAATCGATAGGGTTGTATATTTGGTCAGTTCTTTGTGTTGGATTTCGACAACAAAAAAATGTATTTTCGTAAAAGTGTTTGATTATTTGTACATCAATGCTTCAGTTTTTACGGATAGCAGATAAAGAAACGTTCCGATACACCAGGTGTATAGAATGATAATTTGGAATATGATACATTAAACCACATTCATTACTTGAATACTAATAATTCACAAAAGTTTTGAATCTGTCGGAAATTTTATTTGCGGTCTGTGACCAGTAAAATGTTAAATGTATAGAGTTATTACAATGTTTACATTTGATGTTTTTATCAAATTATCATTTTTATGAAATCCGCAGAAATTGACAGTTTGGGTCATTGGTTCTACTTAACTGCAAATTATTGATAAAGGAAAATAATAAAAATATGGTATTTCCATGATGGACAAAAGAGACCACAAAAATGTACGGATTTAAATGGAAATTTTGTGACAGCTTTATTCGAATGAAACACGTGTTTAGACTTTCTGTTCTTCTGTAGTATCAGTAGTATTAAATGTAACAGCAGTTAAAAAACAATTTTTAAGGACATTATTATTGTGTTGGATGTCAAATATATTAGATAAAGGATCATTTAGATATGGATTATAAACAGTATGGGATTATACATCTTTAATATAAATCAAAGGATATTACCAAAAACCAACATTATGATCTATTAACTAAATGGATAAAAAGTTCAGATACGTTAGGAAAGATAAAGTACGCAATAGACAGGTAGGTTATAGGTGTATTATTGTAATTCATATTTTAAAAACATTCAGATCTCTCCTTAAGTTATCGTAGTAAATTGTTTACTTATTTATCTTTACATGAAGCATCAGATTATCTGGTTAAGGTCCCAAAGCCAACACGTCTAAATCGAACCCCAACTTTGGCTAGGATTTTACTGATGGAACTTGAGAACTCCAGGTAACCATATTTCTATACCCCAGTCAAACCTTAGGGATCTTTTTTAAGAAGCAAACAAAATAATAATGTTTCATTATCATGGAACTGAAACATTACTAAGATTGAGGTTTTTACTTTTTATGCACTAAACAAGTTTTTATGTTTGTTTTGTTGTTTTTTGGGTGATTGTTTTGGGGGGTAGCCAATGGAGATTAACGATATTAAATTTAGGGAAATAAGGAGAGTTTGATACATATTAAAGATTAACAAGAGTCAATAAGAGTAGAGCATTTTCATTGTTTTTACTTTTGAAGTAAATAGTTTTTATAAAGAGTTTTATCGATAACTTTTCGCATACATGATGAACACCAGGTATCATTATTTTAATTTGAAAAAATAAGTTAAAAAATGAAAGTTTTACATGGTTCATGTGGTTCGATCATATTTAAGAAATCATGTCACATTAATAAAATATACATTTACACTTGACAATTTCCAAACAGTATTTTTAAGAAATTAAAAAAATAAAATTTATGATCACATAAATTAAAATTATTTATTGTTCGGAGCAATTATAATGATACTTTATTATTATAGGCCTAAATTTATTGGTGAAGGTTTTTACTTTGAAGATATGACATATCACCTAAGTACTGATATCTTTATAAATTCACTCAATGTTGCATTAATGTTTAAGAAGAGAACATGATTAATCATGTTATAACATTGTTTTATTTTACACTTTTAATAGGATCTTGGGTTTAGTCTGCACAGTGTATTAGGATAAGTCTATATGTTTTGAAGAGGCTAAATTATTATGTGTATGGTTTTAAGAAAGGATTAGGATTGGCAAGGTGAACTTTGTAATCCAAACAAATTTATAGATGATTATGATCAAATACTTAACTTTTTAATAGGGATATGACTCTGCAATTCATTATATTTTTTTGGTGTATGATTATCATTTTCAGCGAGTGTATAGTTTGTCAAAGTTTATGCAAACTTTGCAAACGTATCTCAATGTGTGCTTGCTGAACCTTTTGTATCGTTTGTGTTAGAAAGAAATGCACTCTAAACTAATCTGCCTTTAGACTTTGCTTATTTTACCCAAATACTCTGTGTGGTACATTGTCAAAAGAAAACAGTCTCTGTGAAATAAATTAAGTGGCAATTAAAGGATGAAACACAAAGTTAAAAATATATTTATATTTGTGCTTGCTATTATATAGTTTGATGCAAATACATGTACTATTCATCTTGTCTGTATATCTCTCCATCTTCTAATTACATCTCATCATAAACTAAATATCAGATCTCAGCCAAACTTGTATCGCTTTATCTCTTTGCAGTGTAGTTTTCCAATCTGCAAATCATTTTCCCATTTGGTTGCTCCTAAAATGAGAATAACAAAAGATGCATAATCGATGATTCTTTTGTATATATATATAGTTGTACATTTACACTCAACTTTTCCCTCAATTATTGAATGGATTTGAAACAACAAAGTCTACTTGTGTCTCCTGTACATTATTATATGATTTCTTTATGGAGTGTTCCTTTGGTAAAGAGTCAGATTAAGGGAAGATAGATAAAAAGAAAAAGAATAGAGTTGTTGACAATCTGAAAAATAAAACATAAAATAGATAATCAGGATTACTAAAAATATTATACAACATAACAGAATATACACTAACGACCACTGCCAACTCCTGCAAGACATGCAAACAGAGACAAATAACAAACAAATCAGATGGCCTGAGTTTTTATCTGTGATTTAATCCTGAAAATAAGCCTGTTAAAGATGAAAATGACAACCTTTGACTGTAGTATTTGAATACATTCTATGAACCACATTATGCATTGACAATTCAAAATCAAAATTTCCAGATGTAGGGGTAAATACTAGATTCTGTCAGTGGAAAGCTGGTTAACTGCTGTTCAGAAATCAGTGTTTGTGATCTCATTTTTTGACAGTAACAAAGCAAAAAATAATGGAACGTAGTTTCCGTTTCTAAATCCATGGATAGAATACAATTGGTAAAAGAATTTGAGACAATACGTGAATGTGCCACCAATAAAAACTTTATCAGTCGAATCCCATAAAAATTTGAGATTTAAATCACATGTGAAAATCCTGATCCCATCATTAGAATTAATGTACTTATTGTATTTATAAAAAGTCAATATTTATTTTTTAATAATTTTTTTTTATATAAATCCGTGCAAACGTAATGCGTTTTATCGTGCAAACATAGCACGCTGGATAGGTTAATCATATGAAGTACCATGAAATTTTTCTGTAAAAAAAGATACCTACAGTGATGTATATATGATACAAATGAACTTTCATTTTGTTTTTTGCCATTGTATTGTTGGTTTTTCACACAATGAATTTTGATTGTCCCTTTGATGTCTAGTAACCTCTCTTTGAATGAATTGCTGTAATTGTTCAGGCAGTATTCATCAATTCCCATTTTTGCTGGTTGGTTTGTAAATTCATTGGTTCAGAGTTTGCACAAGAAGAAATCAATCTCAAATATGTATTTATAGTTGGGTTGGTATGTACATCATAAAACTTGGTGTGTAAGGATGTACTGAGTTTTGGAGTGTGAAATTCAAAACATTATCACTATTGGTCTGCTGAGTGTAGAGAATAAGAAATATATAATGAGATTAATTATCAATATGATTCAGTGTATACTTCAAAGCTTTCAGTGATTTTTGAAGTAACAATTTCAGGTTATCAAAGTCAGCTGCTTTTTCAGTAGATCTCAAGTAGCAGGTGGAAAACTGTTATGTAACTTTTAAATCTTGATTTCTTCCGACTTATTATTATTTTTGAATGATCTGAAAACACCATCTTGGTTTGCCAATAGTACTACATGGGAAGGGGTCTGGATCGTTACCATTTGTAAGCAAAGATGGAAGACATGTGCAAGCAGATGGAAATTGACATAAATCTGAAAACATAATTTAATTTAATCATTTAATTTAAAAAAAAATGATTTTCTTTCTATTTAGCTTCAAAAATTGGTTGTGAGTGGAGAGCTTCCATGTACCAAAGAGGAAGCAGCTACATTAGCCAGTATCCAGCTACATATTGAAGAAGCATGGCCAGAAAATGATGCACAAGCAAACATTAAAGAAATTCATCAGAAACTACAATTCAGAATTAATGACCCACAGGAAAATCTACGTCGTAGGAAGGAACTTATACGTAGCAAATGTGCCAGCCGAATAACAAGTACTCGGAGAAGTAAGGGTAGAATCATCCGACAGTTGACCTGCATCAGCGACAATGAAGTGGATTCAAATGGAGAAATTGATCTGACCAAGTATCTTCCTCCAGATTTGGTATCCTCCAAAAAGATAGGATGGCTAATACAGGTAATTATAGTTAATTGGTACTCAAAAGTTGCACATTTCAAATCACTGGCAGAGTGTCTGTGAAAATTGGTACAGCTTTATCATGTCATTTTGTATAAGTAACCGTAGCCCAAAAAGTGGTGCCACTCAAATCTTACCAGCCATAGACTGTGCTAGGCCAGTGGCAATTTAAGTCATGTTTGTTCTTGATTAAACTCTAGAAAAAATTATTTGCTTGTATTTCGGTCATATTATAGCAGAAATCTGTCTCCAAATGCAAATGTTCCTTCCCTATTGCATTGATTTAAAATTTAACCAAAAATTGTTTTTCTGAATTCTAAATTATGTAAGGTCATTATAATGTATGACAGTTAGATTTTAACCACATGTATACATTGTATAATGTTGTTTATAAATAGATTAAGTTGTTCAAGGATAGAGATAATTGTTGCAAATGAGTCTATGTTAATTTTACTTCCTGATTATGTATTGAAACGTGATTAGTAAAACTATTATGTACATTTTATTTAGTAATCATTTCTTTGACACCTGTTTAACATTGGATGTTATGCACTATTATAATTATTTAAAGAATATATGAAAATAAGTCTTTGAAATTAAGCAAATCTATCAACTTAAAAATTAAGAATTTTATTTTAATTTTAAGATATTAAAACAATTTATTTACCATGTTTACAAAATAGAAACAGAAAATAAATGAAAAAAAAATTTATTCTTTTTCACTGTCGTGTTTCAAATTATTTTCTATTTAAAATGCTTATAAATATATTTTGATAGAAAGCCATTAAGATATATTAAATTTTATATTAACACTCATAAAAATGAGAAAAGATGTATTAAATATTTTTTGTAGCAAGCCAGACAAGATTTTTATCGATATAATAATGTTTAAAAATTATATAACAACTACAAATTAAATGTTTTTTTCCTTTATATATTTACTCAAATAAAATTAGCTTTTTTCCTTACGTATATATACCAGCCGCAGGTACATCTTTTTGCGTTCGTGTTGCTCAGTCTTTAGTTTTCTATGTTGTGTTTTATGTACTATTGTTTGTCTGTTTGTCTGTTGGTCTTTTTCTTTTTTAGTCATAGCGTTGTCAGTTTATTTTCGACTTATGAGTTTGAATGTCCATTTGGTATCTTTCGCCTCTCTTTTTGTCGATAATTTAGTACCCAGGACTTATTCATATCAGTTTTTGCAAGTCCTCATTTCTCATCAAACATGAAATACATGGGTTTAAACAATTTGAATAATTGCAGTTAGCTTCATTTTACATAAATGCCTCAGTGGTCTCATGGTAGTGTGTTCGACTGCGGGAGGTTGTGGGTTCTAACCGAAGACTTTAAAATTGATATTTGCTGCTTCTCTGCTAAGCAAGCTTAATTAATGAGTAAGAGCAAAGACTGGTCGGCTCAGAGTCGGTGATCAGTTTCACAAAATATCTTACGACAAAAGTTGATGGTAAGTCATGAACAATTCAGTATACTTATGATCAACTTTAGTTGTAAGATTTTTTGTGAAAGTGATCACTGAATTATGTGTCCGGGTAGGGTGACATGCCTTCCTGGGTACAGTTTATTGTAACCTTGTGAGTTAGCATGTTCAAAATTTGACTCAGTGTGTCGGTCTAGTACAATACATGTTTATGTCCTGAATATGCATTTAATTTGCAGCTGAATGTTACACAGCCATCCATCATCATCTTTTTTTACATGGAACTTCTCTATCAAAATCAATAAAGGCCAGAACAAGAGTTATCTGAGACAGTCACTGTTTCCTTATTTTGCTAAACATCTTATTCTCCATATAAATATACCAATATTTAAACTTTTACCATTCAATATTGCAACTAAAACCCACACATTCATAATTGCTATGTTTAATGGAAAAAAGTAGATTTGCTGCAAATTGCAAATAATGTATAAATTCTTTTAAAGCACAAGGCTAAGATAGTATAATGCACTTATAGTTTTTAAACTTTTATTTTTAAGTTGAATTCAGATCAATATCTGAAATATTTCTCTTCAATTCTCGGTGTGAAAATTTACCTATAAAATAAACAAAATTTAAGTTATCACTCCGATTAATCCAAGCAAACTTGTGATAAAACAAGTAACTGACCGGGTTTTTTGAAAAAAATCTTAAACTTTAACTGATATGGTCAGAGGTTAATTACTGAAAATGGACTTTAATTACACATTCAATTATGTAAGTATGAATAAAAGGAGATGTGGGGTATACATCAATGAAACAGTAACCCAACAATGCAAAAAACCTAAAGATATCTCAGGGTCATTTATAGGTAAACATAGTCTTCAACAATAGACAAGTGGCTATACAATATGTAAAGCTCTATCAATAGGCACTTGTTCAGAAAATTTTTGAATAAATTTAAAAGACTGTCATAGGTAGTCATAAGCACCAGATTCCTTAAATGACAAATACCATTAAGATCCTTTTCAAATGTTGGTCCACTAAACTTGTGGGGGTTCTATTCCTAAGTTAAAAACATAAGATGATTCTAGTTTAAACAGCTGCAAATCAAAGTTAAATGGAAAAACCAAAGAGAAAAGGCTTTTATTGCTATTCCTCATACTTGAAGTCTGTTAGCAAAATCTAAAATGTACCAGTTAGTAAGTTGCATAAATAAATATTCAAAAAAAAAAGAAATAAGTCTTTTTCAAATGATACTTATCTGGCTAGTTTTGTAATATTCTATTAGGCCTTCAGTTAGCATTAACCTTTTACCTGTGTTGCCGAAATGGAAGCAGGTCTAGTAACCGCTTGACTCTGTTAGTCCATTCAAAAGAAATCTTTTGTCAAAGTTTTCTTGGCTTCTATGAAAGGGAATGAATTAATATTTGTAGTGGGTAAGCAATTTTTACATCTTTGATGGATCCATTTCATTTTTGCCCATAGATTGAAATTTTACAACACTCATTGTACAAGGAAAAGGAGTAGACCCGTAAGGGCTAGTTTTGGTCTAAAATTCGAAGTACATCTGATGAAAGATTTTTGACATTTTTTAAACACTTAAGTGTCTACTTCAGTCGATTCAATTAGTTTATGTTACAGATTTGAACTGATTTGGTCATTTCAGATGCTCAAATTCAAGCTAAAATATGAAAAATCTATCAAATATGCCATAAAACGTCACTTTTCCGATGGTTTTTGTCTAAAATGGAAGTGGCCGCATTCGTGTTCAGTCTCAAACGTAAAATATGTTTATGTATTATCGTCAAATACAACATATATTTAAATATTAAGACTGAACACAAATGCGGCCACTTCCATTTTAGACAAAAACCGTCTGTCTTAAAATTAGCACAAATGCTACAATTAGGAAGATTTCAGTAATTTTGCATGAATTTATGATGCTATTACCTGATGTGTATGCATTGTTTTGTCAAAGCAGTCCTTTTTTAATGGAACAAAAGTATTCCAATCTCCAATAAAGAGCTTACAGTTGACATTTCAACAAATTTGTAAAAATGCTATATTTTGGGGCCAAAAAGGGGTCTTACCAGGTCTAATCCTTTTCGTGAAAGTTTTCTCGGCTTCTATTGAAGGGAATGATTTAATATTTAGTCTGCAGCTTGATAATGTTGAGTTGTAGGGAGTAAGCAATTTTTACATCTGCCATATATCCATTTACTGTTTACCATTAGTTTGAAATTTTACAACACTCATTGTACAAGGAAAATTTTCATGAAAGTTTTCTTGGCTTCAGTGAAAGGGGAATGATCAGTTATGCTCCAGTATACTTGTTACCTCAATCAATTACATGCAGCGACACAGGTCCAGAGCCGGTTTTAGTCTTGTTTCATTGATTCTTTGAAACATCCACAGGTTTTATCTGTGATTACAACTATACCCCCACTAATTGGCACCTAATGAATAACAAATATTAATGTCGCACTAATCTAAAGTACTTCAAAACAGAATGACTTCTTTGGTCAGCATGTTCATGTTGACAGTGATGAGTTGTAAGGTTTGAGCACTTTTTGCATCTACAAGGCACCTAATTTCATGTTCTATAAATTTTTCAATATGGTGACTGAGCATGATTTCGTCACTGATTTCTCCAGTGCTACTGAACAGAATAACTCCTCATTTTGTCAGCAACTTGGTAGTGATGACTTGTAATGTGTGGGCACTTTATTCAGATTTGTCACACACTTTATTCCTGTTCACATATACTTTCAATTACTCATTGGGATAGCACCACAATGGGTGCATGCATTTTTTTATACGACCGCAAATTTTTTTTCGTATATTGGTATCACGTTGTCGTCGTCCGAAGACAGTTTGTTTCCGGATAATAACTTTAGTATAATTAAATAGAAATCTATGAAATTTAAAGACAAGGTTTATAACCACAAAAGGAAGGTTTGGATTGATTTTGGGAGTTATGGTCATAACAGTTTAGGAATTAGGGGCCAAAAAGGGGCCCAAATAAGCATTTTACATTTCAGAGTTAAAAAAGGGGTGATTTTCCAGTTTTTGGACAATAACTCAAAAATGCTGTCAGCAATTCTCATGAAACTTTGGTGAATTGTTTATATCTATTGCTGTAAGCTCCCTTTACATTTTCATAAATTTCTAATATGACATTGAGAATTAATTGAACTTTAATTGTTTATAGTCTGACAACAGATTTACTAAGTATTGCGCAACAGCACAGTGTATTGCACAACAGCAAGAAATCTTTAATTGAATATAAATTCAATTCATATAACCAATTTCAAGTTCTTTGACTACATTTCTTCAGAAACCTATAGTATGTCAAACATTTAATACAATCCAAATTCAGACCTGTATCAAGCTTGAATATAGTGTTCATTTTTGCCCCAACTGTTCAGGGTTTGACCTCTGCTGGCGTATGTAGCTGCGTTCAGCAAAGCAGTTTATTCTAGTTTCCAGACAATAACTTGTGGAACGGTGTATGGATCTCTCTGAAATTATACCACAAGTTGCTATATATACCACAAAGGGATGGTTAGGATTAGCTTTGGGGGGTTATGGCTCAAACCGTTTAGGAATTAGGGGCAAAAAAGGGGGAAAAATAAGGGTTTCCTGGTTAATGGACAATTCACCAAATTTGCAAGGGGGCGGGGGGTAAAAAGAAATTGTGGGGGGTCAATTTTTTCTCATTTCAGATTTCAGAAATTGAAAAAAAAAATTCTTCAAATATTTTATTTTTTTTGCAAAAAAAAAGGGGGTGGATGGGGGGTGTCAATACGCAATAGCATAGTGTATTGCACAAAAGCAAAAAAAAGGGGGGGTATATTTTTTTTTTTTTGTGGGGGAGGGGGTCAATTCACAACAGCAAAGTGTATTGCACAAATGCAAAAATTGAATATAAATTCAAATCATATAACCAATTCTAAGTTCTTTGACTACAGTTATTCTGTGTCAGAATGTGTCAAATATTTAATAACACTCCAAATTCAGACCTGTATCAAGCACGAATATTGTGTCCATTTTTGCCCCAACTGTTCAGGGTTGGACCTCTGCAGTCGTATCCAGCTGTGCTCGGCGAAGCAATTTATTTGGTCTGTTTTGGATGTAAATGGCTGTTTTGTTAGTAATTTTATACCATTCAAGAGAAAATGCCTACTATCTTAAAAATTTCTTTTGAAAGACGTTGTTTAGTTAAAATAGATATCAATGGAAAATCTAAGTACATTTTGATAAGTTAGTACTCGAAAATATTGGAGTACAATGTACCTTGTATTTAGATCACATTCTAGTTTTGTTGTGAATTGTTATACACTTATCTATGAACATTATATTATAAAATGCTTAGTTAAGTCAAGGATAGAATACTATGTTGGTTTTTGGTTGTCACGTTAGATGACAAGTCACCAATCTGTTCACCAATATTTTCGCAATGCGGTCAATTTTATTTATTACAAGCTTTTGAAAATTACTAGCTGTTGAAATCAAAATTTTTTTTTTTTTCATTTCAACAGCCATCAATTTTAGCTGCTCCTGGAATTAACTAAATAGAAATTACCTTATTAAAGAAATTTTTCAAAAGATGATGTATAAACTTTAGATTTAAATATAGCAAGAATGTTAGGAAGCATGTATGTTTAACATCCACCTACAAATATTACATGCACATCAATGGATGAGAATATGTTGGTGTTGTATAAATATGAGGCTTGCTTGGATTTTAATGTTCAAATTCAAAAGGAAAGCAGTCTTTCCATGGCAGACCAATCTTTGTCCTGACTCCGTAATGCTTTTTGCTCACTGATGAATCAACCACTAAACAACTAAGGCTGTTTGCTGGTAAACTGACCATACAGACTTTTACTTTTACAGTTATTCAAATAATTAATATCACATGCTAATTCAGCTTTTGCCTTATAGTACAAATTTAAAGAGATTTATTTAAGGCAGGATAAATATAAAATTTGGAAACCCTGACTTTGACCAACTTATTGCTCTTGTAACACAATGACACCTTTATGAGATAAACTCCTATGATACGTTTAGCCAGAAACTGTTCATAATTGTTAGTGTGCTTTTGATTTACAGGAAAAACAGAAGAAGCTATGGCACACACCTCATTATGATAGTGAAATCAAGTTAAAACAGCACTATATAAAAATATGTAAAAATTTACCTGCTCATGGCTGTAAACTGTACCAAGTGAAAGAATTACTTAGAGGAAATGCTCAGAAAAAGGTAATGTTAAATTAATATGTCAATTGGAAGATTTTAATGTATAGTCTTTCAAAAATGACCATCACATTCATAATAATTTAGGATTGGATGACAGAAGGATTAACCTTTAAGGAACATGTGCTTTTTGAATACATTGGGGAAGGTTAACATTCTTTGTGTAAATTTGTAACAGAAAGGAGAATATATGTTATTGCTACTTGAATTAAAAAAAAAAGAACTATTATAAATCTTTCAAAAGACATTCTTCAGACATCAGTTTTTACGTCTTTGAATTTTGTCCTATATATTTGTGTGGGAACTTCTTGCATCTAATGAAAATCTTAAATTTCTGTAAATTATAAACCAGTTGCAAGTTCACTTTAAACAAAAACATCAGTTGTTTCTCTATTATGTTAAAATTAACTAAATAAAAGTTTCGATATTGCAGGTTACAAGAATGTTTGGAGTTGGGAGTGACAGAGTTGTCCTTCTTGACAACAAATCTAAAATTTTGGCCAAGTCACATAGTATTAAAGAGTTACAAGATTTTAATCCAGGCAGCGGAAAGTATCACGATGGACTTGACTTAGAATTTAGGGGAAGTAAACCATGGAATCTTACAATGTCCTCATTAGAAAATCTGAAGTCCGTGACAGCTGTATTATGGGATGCTTTAGACATGGATGGTAGATATCTCAATAATGGGACTTTACGTAGAGATAGTTTTGACTTTGGTAAGTCCTGTAAAACAGGGTCAGTTCTTAATTTTAACAGATTCACTGGACAACTTCAACCAAGAGTTATAGTATTCAACTATAATATGATTCTTAGATAGAAGCTGTATAACTGCAAAAGTATTTTTGCTACATTTTTTCCACAACAACAAAAATAAATACTAAAAACTATGAATATGAAGTATAAAACCAAGGAAATTGTTGCTGCAAAATGCAATGAATTCACAGCATTGATATGGGCTCAAAGGAATCAGAGTTTGATTTAGAACCCTCGTAGACAATAGATGCTTGTTCAGTCTTAACTTTGGAATGAGTTAAAAAAAACACAGACGTCTGATAGTTAAACAAGCAATGATTTTAAAACATAATGTATTTACACTGAATGTTGGGAATTTTTGGACAGGACAAAGTATATAGTGCTTGACTTGGAATTCAGGGGACACAGTAAAATAACATTGAAATTCATATGAATAGGAATCTGAAATGTCCTGATGCAACATCACAAGGTCCAACACCTTGGACATACACTTTTAACTCGTGATTCAAATATATCTGAAACAGGGTCAGATTTCTAAATTTTTCAGAACCTTTGAAACCACTTCACTGCCTATCAGTAAAGTTGAAATAAGATAAAAAGACAAAAATCCTTAGTTTTGACCTTTATAGATAAACCTGTAGTATCCAATCAGTAAACAAAGATTCATAAAGAGTCTTGTCCTTTATAGGTATACTCAATGTCTAATTTAGTTGTTAGAGTTAAAACATTTATCTATTATACTTGAGAAGTAAAGAGATCATAAACTCTAATAGATTGTAACTACTTGACTAGGGCAGAAGTGTGTTTGAATATATCATTATATCTTATTGTACATATTTGTATTATGATATTAGATTTTATAGCTTATCTTCACACTTTTGTTTTTGGTTTTCACATACTTTCTTGTTCAAACACAGATAGAATTCAAGTTTTTTTTACAATATGGCTTTACATTTGTGATTTGAACTTTAAATAAACCCATTATTTGTTTTGAAATTATGATTATGATGTTTAATAAATTTTTGAAAAATGTTGCAAAATGTAAGTAAATCAGAAATATGATCCATCCTGAATGATTTTGTTGTCTTTGAAAGTTTGTAAAAAGTTAAGGCAGGTCTTAAACAAAGAATAAACAGAATGATTCAACTGGGGAAAAAAAGAAAAAAGATAATAAGGTTGCAATGAAAATAAAAAATGATGGATTATTGTGCTTTACTTCTAGCTTCTGGAAACAAATAGATTTACTGCTTTTCTGCTAATAACTTGTATTAAAGTGAAAATAATTGTGTTCAACAATAACCCCTCCCTCAATACACACACTCACAAACTAGAAAAGTACTGAACAATTAAGGGTTAAATATGATCAAATAAAGGTCATCATATTTCACAAGTTTTGTAAACCACTTCTTGCTGCCCTCAACTATAGCAGAGTATGTGTGAATCATAGATTAATACAGATACATTTTAGTTGCCATAGATAGATACATTTTAGTTGCCATAGATGGAGCTTTCTTTCTTTGTTCCTTACTTATCTTAAGAGTCTTAAATGAAAAACAGGAAGAATGCCATCAGTTGGACAGAAACTGCTTACCTTTCCAGATCACCTCATCGACCGTGCAAGACTCTCATGGGTAGTCAAGGTCGTTAAAAATCACCCTCATCATCACCTCATTTCACCTTTTGTTTTAGTTAGATTCAAGTTGCTCATTTTTAAGTTTTCTTTGCAAAGCTTTGTGGTAATTATTGTTTGTTTTTGCCTCTTTGGTTTCTTCCATCTTTTGCCAATGTTTGAAATGTTGTTTTGATATATTTGAAAAAAATGGGGAAAAACGTGTGATTGCAGTACATGTATGTAGAAGCTGGCTTTGTAAAATTGTTAGACAGTGATTCATAGATAAACCAATTCTTGAGATATTCTGGACACATGAAACATGTTTATTTCATCCTTAAATCCATAGTAGAATCTGACAGTTTGGATTAATTGCATTAAATTTGATACATTTCTGTCAATAGCTTGGTCTTCATTTTGTGTCACATTACCGTTCATTCAGAAAGTTGTATTTGCAGTTATTATATAGTAATATTGACTTGTCCATTATCAAGGAGAATATTTAGACAGGCCTGTCTTATATTCTAATAAAACTCCATACAACAAATATGCCAAGGGCATAATGTTTTTACCCATCCGTCCAACAGTCATTTTTTTTACCATACCTAGTCAAATGCTTCATGTCTTGTAACATCGTCTTCAAATTAAAGTGAAGGTTATCCCTTGTAAAACTTTAGATGAGTTCTGTAATTAAAAGTAATCTATAAGCAGAATTTCCCTTTTTCATTTGTTTCAGATTTTCATTGTAAACCATCACTTTTACGACCAGCCATCCATGGAGGCTCTCGGTACTCCAAGGAATTAGAACATCTCAGAAAGAGGCTACACTTCCCAGAAGAAGTTGCAATCATGTTAACAAATGTAGAACATGGATTGTTTAACAGTATTTTACCATCACACTATATTCGACAGGTTACTACCGACCTGACACGAGGATCTGTTGTGAACAGGAAGAACTCCAGTGTTGAAGATCTCATACAGAGATTTAATGAGGTCAGATAATAAAACATGATACCATTTATGGTTTTTTTACATTGGGTTTTACTCATGACTTGAGTTCTAGAAGAGGTAGTTTAATCTCTGTAGTGTTTATTTTTCACTGTTTCACTGCCTTATTCAATTCATTTAACAGAGAGGCAAAAAATACCAAAGGAATATTCAGACACAGAAGTCAAAAGCAAACTGACAATACCATAGCAAAGAAAGAAAAAAACGACAAAAGAACAAACAACTGCACACAAAACACAAAATAGAAAACCAAAGACTGAGCAACAGGAACTCCACCAAAAACCAGGGGTGGTGATGTCTGGTGCTCTGGAAGGGTAAGCAGATCCTGCTCCACATGGACATTGAAATGTTTACCATAGGCAAATTTCGCTGCAAAATTCCAACTGCAAACATATTGAAATTAGAAGCACACTGAAAAATAACCTCTTTACAGTATCCTGTCAATGCTAACATAAAATAATTTGTCATACTTTATTTTAGGTTAGTTCCTGGGTCACACAACTGATCATCACCCAACCTACATTTGAGAACAGAAAGGCTATTTTGTCATGTATCCTCAGACTTGCCTTCTACTGTTGGTGTATTGGTAACTTTAACACAACCATGGAAATAGTGGCTGGACTCAAGTAAGTTGTTACACAGTTACCCTAAACTTAAATGCAAATAGTGGCTGGGTTCAAGTAAGTTTTCACAGTTTACTTAAAGTTAAAGGGAAATAGTGGCCGGAATCAAGTAAGTTTTCACACACGTACCCTAAACTTTAAGGGAAATAGTGGCTGGACTGGAGTAAGTTTTCACAGAGTTTACTTAAACTTTAATGGAAATAGTGGCCAGACTCAAGTAAGTTTTCACACAGTTACCCTAAACTTAAACAGAAATAGTGGCCAGACTCAAGTAAGTTTTCACACAGTTAACCTAAACTTAAATGGAAATAGTTGTTGCACTCTGGTAGGTTTTCACACAGCTACTGTAAACTTTAATGGAAATAGTGGCTGGACTCAATTAAGTGTTCACACAGTTACCCTAAACTTAACTGGAAATAGTGGCCCAACTCAATTAAGTATTCACACAGTTACCCTAAACTTAAATGGAAATAGTGGCCAGACTCAGTGAAGTTTGGACACAGTTACCCTAAACTTAAATGGAAAATAGTTGTTGCACTCTGGTAGGTTTTCACACAGCTACTGTAAACTTTAATGGAAATAGTGGCTGGACTCAATTAAGTGTTCACACAGTTGCCCTAAACTGAAAGGGAAATAGTGGCCGAATTCAAGAAAGATTTCATTCATAAGGATTAATATTCAATGAACAAATCAAGAATAAAACAACCACTTAACATGCAAAAGGCACATGCATGTAACAGGCAGCATTTAAAACTAAAAATTTTATGTCTGGTTCTCTAATTTGTAATATTGTTAACTTGAAAGAAGCCTCACATAATAAATTATGGAAATGTAGCAATGTTTGGTTGATAAATATCATCAATGAGGTATTGCCATACAATTATCATATTTGAGGTTGTTTTTATATTCAGTAACCTCATGCAGTGAGAAAGGTTTATTGTTTTGTAAAATGTAGATACATGTTTTCCACATAATGATTTTTACAATTTCATTTCAGATCAGAAAAACTGAGGCCGTTTTGGTTGTCTATACCTGAAGAAGACTTGTCCACGCTTCATTTCCTGGTTTCTGCTTTGTTGACTAGACAAATGACCAATGAATACAAAGAAGCTCTCAGTCGATCTCTTGACATCCCAGAATGCAAAGTTGTACCATTTTTCGGAGGATTTTTGAGAGATTTACGTGCATTGTTTATTACCCTTCCAAGTGTCATTGTGTTGCCTGCTGAGGAAAACCAGTCCCTCGAGGTATGATTCAATTTGTTATCCTACATTTTTATTTTATGTTTAGATCTAATTTCATTTATTTTCATGAACAATAAACTTGCAAAGAAATGTAAATGTTTTTGATGCTTCTAGTAGAATGAAATGTGATTTGCATGGAAAGGCTGCACAATACAGAATTTCTAGACAGTTGTTATCTCTGTCTGGTTTGTCACATGTCCTGAAAAAGCATGTCATATTTACCATTAGACAATTACCCAGCAACAATCTATCTTTATATTGATTAGTTATTTTCAGGATTTCTGTAGTGTTTTTAGTATTCGTTCATGTGTTTTTCACAACTTTTCATTATGTAGATTGTATGATGTTAGCACAAATTCATCAATGAAGGTCATATGGAGGACTCTACATTTCAAATTGTTTGTTGTTCATTGTCTAATTGAATATAATTGACCTTATTGAAAGCTAGTCTTTGGTTTAAATATTCTTGTTGAAATTAAGGAAATTATTATTATTGTATTATCTGTAAAATTGATTTTAAATAAAGAAGTGCCTTGGTTGTCTAGTGGCGGTATGCTTGTCTTGAAATGGAAGGCTGTGGATTCAGTCCCTAGTCTGGTAAAACTTTAGGCTTTGGAATTGTTATTTGAAGCTCCTGCTAGGCTAAGCAGGCATTATAACACCGATTATCTTGTTAGCTAGTACATTGAAAATCCAATGTCTGGTTGAAGTCAGGAAGTTAGTTGCCTTAATATGTATAGCCCACTCTTCCTTTATTCAGATTGTCTGCTAGAGAGTCAACTTTCATCAATGTTTACATATACAATATCAATAATATTTTTTTTATAACAGTTCATATCTGACTACAATGGGGAAGATAGATTCATGACAAGGATCGGAGTTGGAGGTCTATTGAATATGGATAAGCTAAAACAAGCTCATATTGTTTTAAGTGATATAGCTTTATTCCATAGCCATGGTCAGAGGAGACGAGAAGAAGACTGTCAGAGGTAAACCTTCGTTCTTAATTCATAAGGGATTGCACTTGGATCACCTTCTATAATAAGTAACAATATTTCTTTCCTCACAACATATATATCAGTGTTAATTTTAATTCTACTAAACAATAACAGCTTGTTACAAAAATGGTTTGACCATTTAATCGTGAAGATTTTTGGTAATTATTTTAAGAAGTTTATTGCAAAAAAAATACAATTTATGCGTGACAGCATAGGGTACCAGCCTCTTTAGAGTCTGAGTTAAAATGACTCAACTCAAAAGTTAGGAATACTGAAAATATCAAACTCAAAAGAGTTGAAAAAGAGGACATGATAGCATCAGATAATTAGCGCTTTGTGAAAGGGAGACAAACACTGAGAATACTAAACATTTTGTAAATTATCGTAAATGTGCATGTAAATATCAAAATATGAAAAATCAAATAAAAACTGTGCAAGGGTGAAAACTTGTCACAAACAATTACACTTAGAATGCAATTAAATCAGTCCAATTGAAAGTTAGGTTTTACATTGTTGTTTATTCATTTGATTGTGGTTATCCAGGGATACTTCAATTTTTGATAAGGGGCCTCGGTGGCCGAGTGGTCTAAGTAGTTACTACTGTAATCACTAGCCAGTCAACGCTGAGGTTGTGAGTTCGAACCCAGCTTGTGCGGGTGCACTCGACTTCAATCTTAATTGACTAGGATTGTCAGTTTTCCTATTGAAGGTCGGTGGTTTTCTCTGGGCACTCGGGCTTCCTCCACCAATAAAAACTGGCCGCCACGAAATAGCCCAAAAGCGGTGCTTAAAAGTGGCATTAAAACACCAAAAATCAAAAATCAAATCAATTTTTGATACAGGGAGACAAATCCATAAGATAAAATTAAAAAAATAACATCTGCATTGAAAGGAAGGATGTGCAAATGACATTATCCTCAAAATTACAAAAAAAAACTTATTGTTGTTGAATATATGTCTTCATTTTGTAGTATTTAAATATTCTGTTGTAGAGTAAAATCTTTTACAATTTGAAAGTATTCATAAGCCACAAATTAAAAGGGAAATATATCATGATTTTAAAGATGAAATTGGATTGATAAATTGTTGCTTGCTAAAATTTCAAGTGGCAAATATTTCATACATATTCAGAACCAAGATGCAATTTGAGAAATGCAAATATGAAATTTGAGAACTCAGTGTCAAAATGATACACTTTAGTTTTAAAAAGTATATTTGCATTGATGTTTTTTCTTTGTTGGTGAATTTTCATATACCAGTATTATAATTTTAAGATTTCAAACTATTTTACAGTATTGAGGCATTTGAGGAATATGATAATGATTGTGAAAGTGATTATGACCTTGACCTTGACTCTTATCAGCCAATTAAGGAAATTTCGGCAGACCATGAATTCATGTTAATAACTAGAAAAATGGCTAAAATAGACTCTCAGACATTACAAAGCTTACATCACGGAACAACTGTTGTGAGAGTTGAGGAAGACAGCAATAGGTCATGCATGTGCTACCTCAAACTTGAAATTGACAATTCAACCTTGACTTGGAGGAAACAGTCGTGGAGTTCTCTCAGTGCAAGCTCTTCAACATATCCAGACTTTGCTTTGAAAGGTGAATCAGATTCTAGTTCAACACAGGTTTTATGTATGAGGTATTCTGGTGGAGAAGATGTGTACGAGACTTTGGAAGAGGGTTTTATAGATTTACGTCTAGTCAAAGAAGTTTCAAGGAGAAATGACTTAACTATGAATGATCTTGGAATCATTATGAAAAGACATAACATGGAAAATTTAGATTCACAGAAAAATGTCATATCAATTTTATATGGTGCCAGTTACTCAGAAAATCGTAAAATTTACTTTGTTGTTCCCAAATTCACTTGTAGAATGTGGTACTCAGGATTAGTGCGTTTAGTAAGAGCAGCAAGAAGACTTTCATGGCAGACAGATAAACGAGTACAGTGTTTGAAAGTTCAGTATTTACAATTGTTTTACGAGAATGAGAAATGTCTTGGACCAACTCCTGCAGAGGCTATCAAGGTAAACTATTGAGGGAATTACTATCTTAAAGGTGAATACGTTAATGGCCTTATTTTGCCATAAATCAAAGTATTAAAATACATGAGAATTTTGCACACAAAAAAAAAAAATGATAGGTTCATGTTAAAGTTGAAGTTGTAAGGGATTTCAACTATTATGAATTTAATACTTTAGGTTAAAAAATGGTGTAAATTGAATTTTTTTTTTCTTTCTAAAAACATGTCAAAAATTTAACAGTTATGGTACATTTTTGTGTGATAAAGTATTAAAAGTACATGCATGAACTTAGTAAATACTTTAAGAGAGGTACTAATCATATAAACAAACACTGTTGTTGATTATTTTTTTTGTTCTTGTATGCACTAATATTTGCAATCAATAAGTGGTTTAAAATTTTTCAAAATTGATGTATTTTGATGCTTAACCTTCAAAGAGGTTTTTCAATGATATCATTTATTCATTCATTGTTAGGTGAGGGATGTAGAATAAGGAGACTGTATTCTTAGAAATTATGTGATGGCAAAACTTGCAACAAGATGAACTTAGAAATAATTAAAATTTTAATTGATAATATTTAATCATGTACAGGAATCACATTAAGTACTCTCTACACATGCAGCCATTGTCTAACTGTACTATATTATATTCACACATTAGATTTAGAATTTACAGACTTAATGTTTTATGTCTATTTAGTATGCTAAGTGGATTCACATCTGTAACATGTGAATAAAAATAACAAAGTTTGTTTACATTTTAAAATCTTTTTATTACTCTCTCATATCTTTTTATGATATGTCAGGTCTTTATTAAATAGGCATGTGAACAATTATTTGCTTCATTAGAATGAAAGCTGAATTCATTTACCAGTATTTATATTTTTAATATAGGTATACATTTTGTATGTATTAAGGTTTATGAGCTCTTCCTATAAAGGCCTATGTTAATTAAGAAATTTTCAAAGTACAATAACAACAAAACAGCAGAGATATTAATAGAAGAACCGTGCAATTTTGTACATATACCAAATGGCAATGTTGTCCACAACAATAATGTCTATTGTTTCATTGCATTTATTGTAAAATAGTGATTTTGTAGGCTGTGTTAATTATGAAATTTTCAAGAACAATTATAACAAAACAGCAGAGATACTTATTAAAAGACGTGCTATTTGTACATATACCAAATAAATAAGTTATTCACAGCAATAATATCTATTGTTTCATTGCATTGAATGGAAAATGGTGATTTTTTGGCAAATCAGGTCCTGATTTGTACAGAAAATTCACTGAGACCTCATTACAGAGATTTTCATGATAACATTTTAAACACTTGTTTGTCCATGTTATGCCACCTTTTATTGTTTACAAAAAGTCCTCAACAACTTTTACAATCCAAATAACCTTGTGTTGAGTCGCTAAAGTTGAGCTTACCCTATATTGTGTGCTTGATTAGGTCCATATTTGTTATTGTTTTAAACTAATTTCTGTATAAAAAAATTTATTTTAGGAAATCATTGGTAGCACTGCATGTAGTAACCATCTATGGATTAAGTATAAAATTTCAGATAAAAGTGTACTAGGGGAAAGGTTATGGATTTTCTTTAAAATTTCAAAATGTATAGCATTGAAACAACAAAAGGTGACATAATCCTTACTTAAATTTTTGACTTAAAAATTTTTTTTTTTTTTATTGTCCATTGATCTATCTCAAGCATATTTTATTGCTTTGCAACTACACAATGTATAATATTGTTTTTGTCCTGATAGAAAGTACATTAAGAATTGTGTTCTCTAAAAAACAAACAAAGAAAAGGAAATTTATTTTATTTTTTTACTCTCTCGAAAATTGTAGACATTTTGTGGTTTAATTTTACGCCTAAAAGAATTGAAATGTTGTGACACGTGTGAAATTTTTCCTCATTTTTTAAGGCTTCATTTATTAAAATGAAAAAGTATCATAGTCTTGACGCAATCACGCTAAATGAGCATGATCAATATAGATCTAGAAATGGAATGCTGGGAATTAAATGGTTTCTCACTTTTCATTTCCTGTCGTGCTGTCATATGCTTTTGTTTATATGAATTTTATCAATTATTGGTTGAACTACCTAAACAGTGTAAGGCCATAAGAAATAAATGTTTTGTTTATCAGTTTAGTTCCTCAAAAGAAGAATTAAGATAACAATTGTTTATTCTTTTAATTTGTAGAATTTTATACAAAAAGTAAATGAAATTTACCACGAAATCAATCTCTTTTGGCAACAATATTATCGCTCCAGAAAATTACAAACAATTTACTTTAAATTATGAAAATGAAATTACCTGTTTGCATAATCATGGTAACATAAACTTTAATTGGATGGTAATTAAAACACAATTTTGTCATTAACTTAACCATGACCAGTCAAATTTTGTTTCCTGGTGATCTTGGCATAATATTTGTTAAATTGGACTGTGAATCAGTTGCATATTATTTGAAAAGTCAGTTAATTCATGGGGATGATATATTAACAATTACAATCAATTGGAATTTTTTATGTGATTAAGCTTTTTCCAAATCCTTTAAAAAATTGCCAAAAAGAAATATTTCCTGGCAAGTAATTCAGTCTTTAAATTCTGCTGCTCTACTATTGCTACATTAACGCCTGAATGCATAGCCAATAATCATCAATCAAGCACATGTAATCTTGCTAGAATTGAGGTGACTGGTGATTGGTCACCTCTCCCACATGACACCAATCAGAATTAGGATTGTTGTAGAGCTTTGAGTGTAAAAAGGAATTCTTGCCATCGCAGGTTGGAGAGATTAATTACAGGGAGGGACTGAATTTTTTGGGTAAGGCAAAAATAAAGATGCTATCCCACAATACATTATAAAAATAAGGAGATATGGTATGATTGCCAATGAGACAACTATCCACCAAACTATCCAACATTGTTCTTTTTTCTATTAAATATTTTCATGAATTGTGCCTTGCACTTCCATGGCGTCATAAGCCAAGATCACAGCCTATATATAGATTGCGTTTTTCTCAGTTGGTCCCTTTATTTAACTCAGCATGCTGCAAATAATTACATACTGTGATGTTTTTATTAATAACAAAAATGAAACAGTATCAGGTTAGCAATAATAAAAACTAGCATTCATAATTTCAGTAGTGATTTCCATCACAAAATTTTTGCAATCACATTAATTAATGTCACATTTTTACCAGTAATCATTGAGACACAATAATCATGATAATAAATGCTCACATGAATTTCTGAATTTAAAGTAATTTAATCTTTAGCTGAATCAAGTGTTACTAATAAGTACATAAATATATACAGTATAGGTATTGCAACTGCTCAGTTATAGAAAAAAAAACGTTTTAATCAAATAATTTTTAGATATTTTGTGTATTTTAACTGAAAAATTGCATTTGTCATAAAAATGAAATTCAATCCATCTAAAAATAAAAAGGCCTGTCACCAACCTAATATTTCATTGGCCTCATTTGTGTTTCTTGTACTTGTTGTCATGGAAAAGTTTTTTTTATCCTTATTCTCTGGTTATGAAATGTTGTGAAGATTTATGGGAGAAAAAGCAATATCAGCCTACAGAATGACATACTAAAAAGTTTTAGAAGTATTCCATTTACGTAGGATAATTGTAGCATGTGTATATATATACACGTGTAAGATTGGAAAACATCTTTTGACAAGACTTTGATATTTAAAGAAGTTTTTATATTGGATGGTTATTGAAATGTGTATGATTTGTCAAAAATCATTACGTTAATACAAATTAGTAAGTTAAACATATTATATTTTGTAGTAAAAATATTTGTAAAATTCATGTATCTTAAAATATGCTACGATTTTTAGGCAGATTTTTACACCTAAACTTATACAGGTGTTAATTAACTTTTTAACTCACCGGACCCAAAGAGCCATGTTAGCTAGTGCTTAAATTTGGGGTCTGTCATTGTTGTCCGTCATCGTTGTAATTTTTTAAACAGTAATTAAAAAGTAGGTCATTGATAATTTGATCAAAAGTAGGTGATTGAAAATTTAATAAAAAGCAGGTCACTGCTATAATATATTCAAAATTATTGAACTAAATTTTAAGAATCCCTTTCATTAAGGAGAGGGATCAATGAATGTCTTGTTAAAAAAACTAATGCATTCACAATTTGCACTTTCAATGACTTTTGGTAGTGCATTTTCTGTTTTCGAAGGAAGTTTAACATTTTAAAATTTGCAACATTCATTTATAGAATTTTATCTATTACAAGGAAATTATAAAAAAAAACCAATTTAATCCTCTCATAAATCACCCACTTTGCATACAGTTTTAAGGATTTTTTGTCTAGCCTGCGAAACTTATTTTGTGAAAGCCAGACATAGCGATCGTAGATTCCGCCGTTAGCGGCGTCAACATTTATGTTCAGTCTGTGGTTAAAGTTTTTTCAGACATCAATAACTTTGTCAAACCTACATGGAATTTTATGAAATTTATTTAGAAGCTTGTTTATGACCAAAATACAGTATCAAGAGCAAAATTTTGAAAATATTTATTTTCATTTTCCATATTTTACTGATAGATGGACTTTATTTTGTTTTTTTTTTTACATTGACATTCAGATTTAGTCTGAGGTTGAAGTTTTTCAGTCATCAATAAATTTGTCAAACCTTCATGGAATTTTATGAAATTTGGACAGAAGCTTGTTTATAACTAAAATACAGTATCCAGAGCAAAATTTTGCAAATACTTATTTTCATTTTTCCGTATTTTACTGATAAATGGGCATTATTTTAGTTTTTTTTTTACAGTTAACATTCAGATTTAGTCTGAGGTTAAAGTTTTTTTAGACATCAATAACTTTGTCAAACCTACATGGAATTTTATGAAATTTGGACAGAAGCTTGTTTATGACCAAAATACAGTATCCAGAGCAAATTTTTAAAAATACTTATTTTCATTTTTATGCTATTTACTGATAAATGGACTTAGTTTTTAGCTCACCTGACCTGAAAGGTCAAGTGAGCTTTTCTCATCACTTTGCGTCCGTCGTCCATAAACTTTTACAAAAATCTTCTCCTCTGAAACTACTGGGCCAAATTTGACCAAACTTGGCCACAATCATCATTGTGGTATCTAGTTTAAAAAATGTGTCCGGTGACCTGGCCAACCAACCAAGATGGCCGCCATGGCTAAAAATAGAACATAGGGGTAAAATGTAGATTTTGGCATATATCTCTGAAACCAAAGCATTTAGAGCAAATCTGACATGGGGTAAAATTGTTTATCAGGTCAAGATCTATCTGCCCTGAAATTTTCAGATGAATCGGACAACCCGTTGTTGGGTTGCTGCCCCTGAATTGGTAATTTTAAGGAAATTTTGCCGTTTTTGGTTATTATCTTGAATATTATTATAGATAGAGATAAACTGTAAACAGCAATAATGTTCAGCAAAGTAAGATCTACAAATAAGTCAACATGACCAAAATGGTCAGTTGACCCCTTAAGGAGTTATTGCCCTTTATAGTCAATTTTTAACCATTTTTCGTAAATTTTTGTAATCTTTTACAAAAATCTTCTCCTCTGAAACTACTAAGACAAATTTAACCAAACTTGTCCACAATCATCATTAGGGTATCTTGTTAAAAAAATGTGTCCGATGACCCCGCTCGCGAACCAAGATGGCCGACATGGCTAAAAAATAGTACATAGGGTAAAATGCAGTTTTTGGCTCATATCTCTGAAACCAAAGCATTTAGAGCAAATCTGATGAGGTTAAAATTGTTCATTAGGTCAAGATCTATCTGCCCTGAAATTTTCAGACCAATCAGGCAACACGTTGTTGGGTTGCTGCCCCTGAATTGGTAATTTTAAGAAAATTTTGCAGCTTTTGGTTATTATCTTGAATATTATTATAGATAGAGATAAACTGTAAACAGCAATAATGTACAGCAAAGTTAGATCTACAAATAAGGCAACATGACCAAAATTGTCAATTGACCCCTTAAGGAGTTATTGCCCTTTATAGTCAATTTTTTACAATTTTCATAAATTTTGTAAATTTTTGTAAATTTTTACAAAGTATTTTCCACTGTAATTACCGGGCCAAGTTCATTATAGATAGAGATAGTAGTAAGGAGCAAGAATGTTCAGTAAAGTAAGATCTACAAACACATCACCATCACCAAAACACAATTTTGTCATGAATCCATCTGTGTCCTTTGTTTAATATGCACATAGACCAAGGTGAGCGACACAGGCTCTTTAGAGCCTCTAGTTTTTTACAGTTATCAAGTAGATACAGTCTAGGGTTAAAATTTGTTACACATCAATTACCTTCTCAAACTTTCATAGAGTGTTATGAAACTTTGGCAGAAGCTTTTAATGATTAAGAGATTAAATGTCTGAAGCAAACCTTTGAAAATATATTTTTTCATTTTTAGTATTTTTCTGATAGATGGACTTCATTTTTTACAGTTAACATTTACAGACAGTCAGGGATTAATTATTTTTGACATGATAAATTTGTAAACCTTCATGGATTGTAGGAAACTTGGACAGAAGCTTATCTTCAAGACCAAGAATAAGCATCTAAAGAAAAATTAGAATTTTTTTTTAAATTCTGTATTTTACTGATAAATGGACTCACAACTTTACACTTTTACACTGACAGCAGCAATCACAGGCGAGAGCCGCGAGACACAGGGTTCAGCGGAACCCCTTACAAATTTTTATGTTGAAAAAATTTGTTGCTACAGCGTATATAATATTTGTACTTGCAGGTATTTGGAGGTCGTAACTGGTCTGTTAGACCCCAGACCACTTCTGGCTCACAAGATCTCACACCATCTTCTTCCAAGTGGACACCAAATGTTGGACCATTTAAAAAGAAAAACAGTAGTTTTTCATCATCAAAGGTAAACGATAATAAAGGAAATGTAGGTTATAACTCATTAAGACAGCAACCCAACAATATGAAAAGACAATTGTCTTATCAATATGTCATGCTCTAAATGACCTCAAGTCTAGAAAACTTTAAATAAAAACTTCAAATTATTTAGTTAAAAAAAAATGAGCTCCTTATATGACATGGCATAAGCTAGTAGTCTAATTAAAAGATTTTAATACTTTGGATATGGATTGATTTTATTTTATGAACAAACAAATATCTAAATGAAGCTTTTATGTCAGTACAGTTGAAATAGACAAGTTTTTCACCTATTATTTGGTCAAAAACGATATGAACCACAGCCTTAACATAAAAAGATATTTTAACAACATCAGCATCTTTATGTAAGACACTCTTATACACTTCATAGCCAATTATCTTTCTTGGTAAGGTTGTTGCTCATATATAAATGTTAATGTCAAAATTTCAAAATGATTGAGTTTTTCAGGGCAGTTAACGCAGTTTTACATTAAAAAAGATTTGTTATAGGTAGAATTTATAAAAAAAACAAACAATTGACAATAATAACTGACCTGTAGGCTTATGTCTTATGAACATTTAAAAAATGTTATTTGATTGATTTAAAATCCTTTTTGATTTACAAATACAAGGGGCCATAGAGCAGTCTAATTATAACTTCTCCTATTTGAATGCATATATGTTTATATATATATTTATGACCGATTAATATTCAATTACAACTAGACAATGGTCCTTTTTTGAATCATAAAAAATCAAGTGTTACAACCTGAAGTATTTGAGTATGTATTTGAAAACTAAGATACATGTACTTAAATCACAAGAAATGTATGTTCTTATTTAGAGTGTAGAATTAGATGGTCAAGGCTCAAGACGATCCAGTGGATACATTACAACCTCTAAGGTAAATATTTTACTACATGATATTGGTGGTTTTTTGATAAACAATAGCATTTTGATGTGAAGCAACTGACCTAGATATTTGATACCATTTTGCATCATTACCTGCTTCAACTTCATACATTAAAGAAAACAGATATAAGATAGAGGATAGACAGATCGATATTCATGAAACAAAAATGATACTCACAATATTGACCAGAATACGAACGAATAAAAGGGTTATGCATCTATGAGACAATAACCAAACAACAATAACCAAAAGACATCTAGAATATTTTTATGGCCCTGCAACAAAGATGTCGGGGCCATATAATTTTACCCTTGTCCGTCATTCCGTCATTCCGCAACAAACCATTATACGTTTTTTTTTTCTAAACGCCTTCAGATATTGGGCAAATTTTTGGTATGTCAGTTAACCATGATGAGGTACAGATCAGGTTTAAGTTTCGTTCCGCTCTGCTAATTTTTGTCAAAATTACGGGCTTTGGACTTTGATAAATTGTTGAAAATCACAGTTTTACAGACTTTTTTTCTAAACGCCTTGAGATATTGGGCTGATTTTTGGTATGTGAGTTAACCATGATGAGTTACAGATCAAGTTTAAGTTTCTTTCTGCTCTGCTTATTTTTGCCGTAATTACTGGTTTTGGACTTTGATAAATTGTTGAAAATCACAGTTATATTGACTTTTTTTCTAAAAGCCGAAATATTGGGCTTATTATTGGTATGTGAGTTAACCATGATGAGTTATAGATCAAGTTTAAGTTTCTTTCTGCTCTGCTTATTTTTGCCGTAATTACGGTTTTGGACTTTGAAAATTGTTGAAAATCACAGTTATACGGACTTTTTTTCTATACGCCTTCAGATTTTGCGCTGATTATTGATATGTGAGTCTACCATGATAAGTTACAGATCAAGTTTATGTTTCGTTCCGATATGCTGATTTTCATGTCGTTTCAACACATCTTCAGTACATCCACTTCCTGTTTGCTGATAGTTTGAAATTTAACTCCTCATTGATCAAGGAAATTTTTCATCAAACTAGTATTGATCTTGAGAGCTGGATACTATCCATGCATGTTTGTGTCCACAAGTGTTGTTGAAATTGCAGATTTTTCAACTTTTTGAGACAGGGCCATATGTGTCGTTCCCACACATCAAGTTTTAAAACTTATTTGATATTCTTATTTTGATACATACATGTGATCCTCCTGATGGGAATACAATAAACCTGTTTTCAGGGGTCTCCTCCTGTCCTCCTGTTGGAGAGGAAAAAATCCAGTGTATTAAAAATGTCATGAATGGAAATTTTCAGATGCCATTTTTAACTACGCTGTTTACAAATATTTAGTATTCTGATAGAAGATTGAAGAAAAATCACACAAAAAAGATAATTTTACATCAGACGGTTACGTTTACGACAGAAAATATTGTTAAAAATCTTCCTGATCTGAGGTCTAAACCCAAGACCAAAATTTCCCAATCTCCTTATCTGGGTTTCACAGTATGCTGATAGGAAATCCAACAAAACCATTAAATAGTGTAATTTGGGCTATTAAGCTTTTTGTATGGTAAATGTAAGTAAAAGCTGTACTTACAAGCTATAGAATGTAATAGGATAAGATAAGATTGAGTTTATTTCAGACAAAAATACTGTGTAAAACATACCAGGTACTTGAATTTAGTTATAATTTAGAAATACATGTATTACATTGGTGATTCTCAGCATAATGTTTGAACTATAAGCAGCACCAAGATAGCAATAATGATCATGAAATGGTCATTTACCATTTTTTTTAACTTTTTGTGATACATGTACTTATATTCCAATGTAATGGGATAAAAAATTATAACAAAAACATGTTGTCTTTCTATTATATAGTTATTTTTCTTTAAATCACAGGAATCTAGTCCAAAACTAGCTGGCAGTAGTGCAATAAATGACAAACACTCAGGGATGTCTAAATCATTCGATACCGGTATACCCAAGTCTCTCGCAGCTAGTGATCAGAACCTGGATAAACTGTTGAAAAACGATAACGGTGAAAGGCCACGTAGTCTCACATTCAGTTTTACAAATTGTTATCGTAACAAGCGAAGACGCATGTCTCTTGGAATGCATTCGATGGAGAACAAAACAAGCTCAATAACACATTCCATACAGCTGACATTCCTGGATTTTGTTGATTTGTTTAAAGCTTTTAGTTTACGATGTCGGAGAGATTTGAAAGATTTGTTTGAAGAATTTGCTTTGTCGTGTAAACCTAGCGGTAAAGATCCACCTGTTGTTAGACCACCAGGATATGCTCCACCTCCTGGTGATTACTGTAAGTTAATGTGGGTTTCTATTGTTGAGGAAATATAAATGATACTTCTTTTCTGTAGATATTCTCTGAATATCTTACAAAAACATAGTTTTAGTTTTATACACCTGTCTTAGACATGACATTCAGTGGTATATGCTGCTTTCTGTTTGCCTGTCTGTCCATTCATCTTTCTAGCCATCAGCCATTTTTCCCATTTTTGCCTTATATTTTGAAAACTCGAATAGATAGATAGAAACTTTAAATAGCACAAATGATCAGCATGGCAAGATCCACAAATAAGCCAGATGGCCGAAATCTTCAGTCGACTCATTATTGGAGTTATTGCCCTTTAATGATAATTTTTAACATTTTTTATGCCCCACCTAGGAGCATTATGTTTTTCGGTCTGTGCGTCCGTTCTTTCGTCCGTCCGTCCGTTCGTCAGTCCATCCTTCTGTCCTGCTTCAGATTAAAGTTTTTGGTCAAGGTAGTTTTTGATGAAGCTGAAGTCCAATCAACTTGAAACTTAGTACACATGTTCCCTATGATATGATCTTTCAAATTTTAATGCCAAATAGAGTTTTGACCCCAATTTCACGGTCCACTGAACATAGAAAATGATAGTGCGAGTGGGGCATCCCTGTACTATGGACACATTCTTGATGCCTATTATCTTGAAAACTATAATAGATAAATAGAAACTTTAAACAGGAAAAATTATCAGCAGGATAAGATCTACATGCCAACATGACTGAAATTGTCAGTTAACTCTTAATAGAGTTATTCCCCTTTAATGATGATTTTTACTAAAAAGTGGCCATTTTTGAAGATGCAGTTGAACGACACAGCCTCTTTAGAGCCTCTAGTTAGATCTTGCCGTAAATGTGACTATACGAGCCAAGACTTTAACATGCAAATATGTGGAAAGTTTTACATATTACCAAGGAACTCAAGTATGCTTGAATAAATTTTTTCAAACTTTATATTATTGTTATGATTGGTAAATGCAAGCTCCCTTTGCAATTTGAAAATTTCCGATATGTTGTTCCATAGTTATGGGACTTTAACTGTCAGATTTAAGGCAATTTTTTACATGATGAGCACTAGTGAGGATATGTTTTTCAATTTATTCTCAGCATGATTGGGTATTTTACATGTATTCTGTTCTATTATTGCAGTATATTTACATAAGGTAAAAAACTTGTCTGTTGAGGTAACTGTACATCTGATATTACTAGCCACTATAAGAAAGCTGTAAATAAGAGAATAACTTGTCTATAAATCAGCACTCTATATATTTACCTCTATAAATATACATAATTATATAATGGTTTACTTTTATAAATTTTTACTTGGATGGAGAGTTGTCTCATTGGCACTCATACCACATCTTCTTATATCTATAAAAAGTAGAGCATTTACAATGAGTTAAAAATATTGCATCTTGACCGATATTGCATTCTATTGTTTCTCCTTATCATTACACACTAGAGAGATTTTGAGTATAACAATTAATTGCATGCAAGCAAACATTAGATGAACAAGATGGCAAAAAAGGACATTGCATCCTTACTTTAGGCATCAAAGCTGCAGGAATAGGACTTAGTATCATCAATGCTGCTGAAATAACGGGTATTATATTATAAAAGGGTTATGGCACTAACATTGAGGAATATTGTCTCAAGCAGTATATCATATTGCAGGAGCTTGTAAAATTACTACACACAATACAATATAGTGGTAAAATATACTTAAAACAAAGAATTATTTGGAACTAGAATAATTTTGAATTCTGGAAAGTTGATAAGTAATATATGATGAAAACTAATACAACTTTAGGGGGTTAGCCATGCATGCATGGCAAAGGTTTAAGTTACTTTCACTGATACTTAACTACCCTTAGCCATGCATACAACATTGTTAACCCTCCTTAATTGGGTTAATTGTCACCACACATTTCTTCCAGAATTCAAAATTATTCCAGATTCAAATAATTCCTTGTTTTAATAACTTAATGATATTATAGGTGTAATAACAAGAAACAGTTTGTATGAGTTGTCACAAGATAACGTTCAGAGACATAAGATCTGTGATGCCATTGCTGTAGCAAGTATAGGACCAAACTGTGCTGGAGTAGAGAGCACACAGAATCGCTGTCTTAGTCTTAAGGAATTCAAAGAATTTTTAGAAGAATACCAAGATCAACATCTTCATGATGAAGAAATCATACACCTTATTCAGGTATTTTAATTTTATAGTGTCAGTGCTCATATTAAATATTAGCTCACCTGGCCTGTTTGCTATGTTAAATATTGCAACCACTTTGCATCTGTCATCTTTATTTTGATTTCATCAGTTATCAGGAAAAGAGGAACCGATATGCTTACAGCTCTTAATGAGGACATATTAACTTCATCAGTAGAATATTTACATGTACAGAGTCATTGAAGATAGTGTACAATTATTAGTCCATTACTGGCAAAGCTGAAGGGGACTTTTCTGTATTTTCTTTATTTTCATAAACATGATAAAGTTATAACTTTATGAGAAGATATATGATTTTTTTCATAAAAGGAATTCATTCTAGCCACATTTAAAATTGTGAGATTGATGCCTTGAAGTGTACAATCAGAATTATTGTTATCATTTAAAACAAGTTTTATTTAATAGACAATATATCTTAGTCTTATCATTTCAGCAACATGAAGCAGACCCAGTATTACGGAACAACAACTGCTTGTCATTTGAAGGATTTGCTCGGTTTTTGATGGACAAGGATAACTACGCCTACATCTACGAGAAAACACGACACAATGACGAGGTAATGGTAGTAAGTTATCTCTTATCCATCTATATGGACTGTTATTGGGTGGGTAATGGCTGTAATCTGGCTTTATATGGTCATTTACTCTATGTATTGAAGTGTTTGTTAGTTTTTTTGTATAGATCCAGAATAATAAGGTATGGAGGTCAAGGATTGCTAACTAGAAAAAGCATGGATATCAGTTTTAGAAGTGTTGTAACTTTGATATATATCATTTCTGTTCCCAATGTTTCATGGGATTGCTGTAACTTATGGATGTCTTGAGTATTCCATAAACTTCAATTAGTTACCCCTTTCTAAGATGTACCATCTTTTTGAAGGGTTAAATGTTGTGTAAACATTCTTAAGTTTAAAAATAAGGAGATGTGGTATGATTGCCAATGAGACAACTTTCCACTAAAGTTCAAATGAAGTGGATGTTGTTAGACCACCAGGATATGCTCCACCTCCTGGCGATTACTGTAAGCTTATTTGTGCTTCTGTTGTTGAGGAAATAAGGTTCTTTTTCTAAAATTTAGATAAATTATGGCACATACATTTCATACTCTTTTGATTGGCTATCTTTCAAGATTTACAATTCATAAATCACTTTCAGCTTTGAGTTTGATTTTTTCAGGGGAGGATTTCATACATAGATTGTAGAAATAAACATGTAGTCAATTTTCACCTGAAGGACTAAAATAAAATTTGAAAATTGTAAACTCTTTCTAACACTTACAAAAGAAATTTGATTACCATTAATACATGAACCTTTCTTAATTCTGCATATACAAAGAAATAAAAACTTGAATGTAATGCTATTGTTTTTAAAATTGAGGACTTATCTTGTTAAAAAAAACTTATAATTGTTTGATTTTAATATACTGTGAATAGTTTGGAATAAAACATTTGTTCTTCGATTGACAGGATATGGAACAACCACTGTCTCATTACTACATAGCCTCATCTCATAACACATATCTAACAGGGCACCAGTTAACTGGAGAGTCATCACCAGAACTGTATAGCCAGGTTTGTTACCAGTATTTGTATTATAATTGAGCCATTTTTTTAACTTTGAGAAATACTGTAAATTCAGAAATTATTGCGATGTTTTTATTATTGCGAAAAATGCGACCGAGTTATAATCGCAATAATTTAAACTCGCATTTTGAAATTTTTTATATGAATTAAACAGGATTTTTCTCAATATCCCAAAAATTAAAATCGCATTTTAGTCTAAAATGACAAAATCGCAATAATAAATGCACGCAATAATTTCTGAATTTACAGTACCAAACTGATTATATATCAGTAGATGTTTATAACATCATATATGAGTAGGTAAGGCCTACCTGTTTTCTGCATTATTACAGATGATATTTCACATAGAAAAAGATATTAGATCTAATACAAATTAGATATTGTAAATACTGGTTTCAAGTCATACTGTATGAAATATGAGATTCACATCGGCATTTTTTCTTGACTTAACTCATTAATAATGCAAACTGCCATTTAATGGAATGTATAAACCAGAATATATATATAATGGAATGTATAAACCAGAATATATATATAATGGAATGTATAAACCAGAATATATATATAATGGAATGTATAAACCAGAATATATATATAATGGAATGTATAAACCAGAATATATATATAATGGAAAGTATAAACCAGAATATATATATAATGGAATGTATAAACCAGAATATATATATAATGGAATGTATAAACCAGAATATATATATAATGGAATGTATAAACCAGAATATATATATAATGGAATGTATAAACCAGAATATATATATAATGGAAAGTATAAACCAGAATATATATATAATGGACAACATATATAACATCACAGTATCCAAATCGCATTGAGTACCAAATTGCATAAATTACCAAATTGCATAAAGCACTAAATTTGCATCCATTTTTCAAAAAAGAGACAGATGAGAAAACTAAGGGCCTTATTTATAACAATGCAATTTACTAAAAAAAAAAAAAAAATGACATGAGCCAACAGTAACAACTGAATTATAGGCTCCTTTTTTAACAATGGCTCATAAAATAAGGGTGGGGGGGGGGGGGGGGGGGGTGTTGAAGGGGTGATGGCTTAACATGATTGTGTGCACTCAACCCTCCCCCTAATTTGATTTGATGTTCACATATATACATGTATGATCTAGTGTACACCATATACCAGTTGATAAGTAAGATGCATACTTTTACATACAGATTTAATGTATGAAGTTTTAAAAATTAATGATATTTATGGTGATTCTGTTTTAGGTGTTATTACTAGGTTGTCGGTGTGTAGAGTTGGACTGTTGGGACGGAGATGATGGGTGGCCTATCATTTACCATGGTCACACTCTAACCACTAAGATACAGTTTAAAGTAAGTACTTAAAATAACAATGATTACCATTATAAAGTGTTTTGATATAAAATCAGCAATTAAAAAAAAGAAAAGAAAGAAAGCCTTTTTTATAGCCATTTTGGATTGTAAAAGAAAAAATGATATTGATTAAAATAGAGCCATGTTGATGATTTTTGATGCTATCATTTGATTTACAAATAAATCTGAAAATTACAATGATTGTATTGATGCTTACATTCAAGGCAGCATTAGAAGCATGTTATGTATAAGTAAACCTGGAAAACTTTGTTTTGTAGGCAGCTGTAGAGGCAATCAATAAAAGTGCCTTTGTGACATCCCCCTATCCTGTTATTTTGTCTATAGAGAACCACTGTTCTGTCCCTCAACAACAGAAGATGGCCAAAATATTCAATGTAAGTTATTGCTTATAAACTGAAATATTTATGTATGTAAATCACCTGTATTTAAGAATACCTGAAGATTTTAATATAATTCACCTGTATGTAAAAATATCTGAAATATTAAATGTATGCAACCTGCATGTAAAAATACCTAAAATAGTTTATGTTAGTCAATTGTATGTAAACAAAATAAATATGTACGTCACCTGTAAGAGCAATGAATATTTAATGTAATCAGACATGAAAATGGTAACAGGAATTACTAGGCATATTGAAAAAAATTTGAACAGTGCAACTGACCATGCCCATACCCTGTTAGTCTGAAAAAAGAACATACAAACATAGAACAACATTTGTACAAGCAAATGTGATTATCTTTCAGTGGTGCTGGACTTGATAGTGTCTTGTTAAAATTTTCAAAACAGGCATTTCTTTGACAAATATGCTTTTATTATATCAAACCAGTCAAGCAAAAGTAAATAAACTTTTAAATCTTATAATGATTTCCCATATTTTGTAGATATTTTGCTTGCAGTAAATTAATTTGTTCAGACATTTTGCTTTACGTAAAATTCAGATTTGTTCAGATACTGTTCAGGCAGTGATCAATATTCATTGTTTAGTATGGGTAAATAAAAGCTACTAAAAGCACAGAAAAAAATAACAGATCTTGAAACGGCTACAGGCAAACTTCTTGATAATTGGAGAAACTCTGAACATGACTTAATAATTTATTGTTTGATCTTTTACAATCATGCCAGTTCAATATATATTTATAGTTAAGATCAATTGGAAACAGTTTCAACAGAGCTTATTTTCTACTATATTTTAACAGGAAGTTTTTGGAGAGAGGCTTGTTACCAGTTTTTTGTTTGAAAGTGACTTCTGTGAAGACCCCCAGTTACCCTCACCTAATCAACTGAAATACAAGATACTAATAAAGAACAAGAAAGCTAGAGACCAGGAAGGGTTTCCTTTGAAAAAGGTATGGATGGTGACAAAAGCTTCTGTAGTTTTGAATAATTGAAATATTGATCTATTTAGCTTAAAGACAAAAAAGGTTCTGTAGTATAAAGAGTAAATATTGTTTAATTGTTTATATAACCTTTTTGACATATTGTTGGTAGTAAAGCATACTTGAATCTTATTATATTTTGAATACACATGTCTGACTTAATTTTTTTTGTTTTGGTGGGGAAAAAAAAGATAAATTTGAAGGTTAAAAATCAATTTAATTTTATATACTAAACGAACTGAAAAGAACATATTGGTTCCTTAAGTATATGTGTTTTTCATATGTCTAAAAACTTCTTTCAGGTATCATCATGTCCAAGAACCAACAGTATGGCGTCTACAGACTTTGATGACGATGATGTTGATGATGATGAAGATGATGAAGAGGAGATAACTGATGGTAAAATTATTAGAAATTAAAGTGTCCCTTAGACAAACCATTTGTGAATATTTTGGCAAAGTATGTACTATGAGACATGCTTAATATAAAATGAAAACAAGTAATGATTTTTTTGGTTAAAAAATGTATGAAAACTGTGTGAGATTGATCCTCTGTACTGGTAAACTGTAGATACTAATTTTAACAGCTTCAAATTTAGAAAAATTGAAACAGAGAATGACATTTGGTTAACGAATTTGAGCTAAGTTTTGGTATACTGTGAATGATATTTTTTTAATTTGGGATGATAATTATTGTGTTTTGCCTTCAGCATGTTCAAAACATTGTCTTGTTGGTCATTAAATTTCATGTTTTTTACTTCATACACTACAAAATTAGCGGAAATTGGTACTTATTTTGTATTGAATAGTGGAACCTCAAATTCTTGGTTTGAGACTTTGAATTGATATCCATGATTATTTTAAAGTATACAAAAGTTACTATTAATCAAAACAGGTAAAAAAAAATTTTAATTAAATTTTTATTAAAAAAGAAACAGCCTAAGAAATATGTGTTAAAAATAAATCATTGAGAGAACATCATGTGTGACCTACATTTATTCCAGTGAAAGAACAGCTTCGTACATCTGTGGATAGCCAGGACAGTCAAGCTGGTGACCAGGAGGATTCACGGGGAAGGAGCAGTACACCTTCTGATTATCAGGGGAGGTAATTACATTAGAATAGTATTTTCAAATCTCTTATCAATGTAAATGTATATGCAGTTGATTTGGTTTGGAAATTTTACCAAAAATATGTTTGGAAGGCTGTTTCTTGCAAGTAAACAATTCTGTTCTGACTTATACAATACATAGAGGTCAGTTTTCCCTTTGCTTCATATTTTCTAATTAACATTTTACATGAAAAGGCTTTCAGATTTTAAACTATTTTCTGTTGAACTTGAATTTGTGGTAAAGTTAGAAAGAAAGATTAGGTCTCGTTCACTCCTCATGACACTTTTATGACTAGAAAATCGTGTCTGAAGTAGGGAACAAGTCCAAGTAAAAAGATTGCTTAATTGTTGATTTTTTTCTTAAATTAAATGAAAATGGCAAATCCATATTTGGTTCCATTTCAGCCAGAAAAAAAATGAATTTTCCAGGACAGGCACAGAAATTACAATATTTTTTGGAAGTCATGTGTTATTTCTGTTGATTAATTTAAATTCTTAAACACCATAATCAAAATTGTCTGTCAAATATTTATAACTTATGAAAACATATGTCAAACCATAAGTTATAAACTATAATTTGGATGTATGTAATGTTTTCAACATCTAGATAATTCTTTTTCAGACCTTCTTCTGGATCCTTCAGTGAGAGAACGGACAGAAGTTCTAGGATGCAATCAGAACTAGTGGACTGGCAGTTTGTTGATGACCCCTATGACCCAAAAACTCCCAATAAATCCAAGCAAAAGAAAACAAGTCAAATTGCCAAAGAATTGTCAGATCTTGTTGTGTATTTCCAGGCAATTAAGTTCAGAGGTAAGCTTAATATTTGTCTTTTATAATATAAATGATCCAAGTAAGAATGACCTTTTCATGACTACCATGTTTAGTAGACCTTTGAGATTAGAATAAAACTTTAAAATTAAGAAATAGAATATTAGGAAGTACATTAGAGTAAAACAAGCTATGTACTGTAGATCATTCATAAATATTGGGATGTTTTATTATTGTGAAAATTACAGTGGTATAGATTTCACAAAAATAAAAAACTGGCATTTTAAATTTTGATAGACTTGTTTGTATTCAGCTTTTCCTGAAATACAATAATTAATCATATATTTTTGTCTATTTTTCAACAATCACAATGATAAATTTCAGAACTTACAGTATTTTCTTTTGTGAAACTGATGGTCATAGTTGCATGGGTAAAAGTAGCAATTACAATGCTATTTATAGAAAAAAAATGATAATGTATTGTGTGATTTGTCATTCCAACAGTTCTTTGTAGTTATATTATCTTCAGTAAACAAAGGTACTTTTTTTCCAACTGTATTATTTTACGCATCGATTTTTTTGTTTCTTCGTTCTTTAAAATAGTGTTGCTATTGGTCATTGTAGACATGTATTATTCCTTAGAGTACAAAGAAAATAAGTCAATAATATAAATTGTGTATATTTAGGGTTAACCATCAGTCCCAATACTTCACTGAAAAAGAAAGGAATCAGAAGAAGTGCCATTTTAACAAGTAACCCAAGTACGCCAACCATTCTGTCCGAGAAAAGTGAGGTGAGCGTGTCTTCAAACATGATTCGACAGAGACGACCTGACAGTGTTCCTCCATGTTACCAGGTGTCATCACTAAATGAAGGCAAAGCCAGAACACTGTGTAGACGTAGTCCAATTGGTGTTATCAAATATCCTTAGTGTATTGTAATTTTGTGAATTGATTTTTAAAATACAATCAAAACTGCTATAAAGGTCACCTCTATTAAGCAAAAACCTGTCTTGTCAGACCAACCTCTTCTTGCCCCTTTGTAGTAATACATATGCATTTTCATCCTAAATTCAAATGACACCTATTATATCGTCAGTTTTCTCTGGTCCTAATGGTGACCTTTATATACAGGTTTGACTGTAGTACATGAAGAAAGAGGGTGGGAGTGGTTGTAAACATGTGTGAAAGTGTTCTTACAGTAGAATATTAAAAAAATGTTACCCTTTAATTGTAAAAACTTATTGAATTGTTACAGACCTCTGAAAATTCAATAATTTATAAATTAGAAAGTATGCTCGATAAAAACCAATTAGACAGCAAAAAAAGCTGCAATTAAAACCACAATTTCAGAAAAACTTAACAAAAGATTACCATAGGAAATGTGTAATCAATTAAGGCAAGCTGTATATTACTCTAAATATAGACACATTGTTTAATGAATTTACCAGATAGGACTACAAATTTGACATGGTAATTAGACAAAAGGGACCATAACAAACACAGACAAGATTCTGTACTAAAGGTCAACTTTTGCTAAATTGCGAGTAAAATAAAAAAGTGAAAATATAAGTTTGATATTTAAGAAAGATCAGAATCAAGAAACAAGAAAACAAAAATTTAAATCTCTCAAACAGTTTTAACCGTACAAATTGTGAATTTAAATTCTGTGAAAAATTAACCACTTCATAGTATCTATCTATTCATATAACAAACACATTACATATAAGATTGTTTCCCATCTTGCATGAGAATCACCAAATCTAAGATTGATAGAAATTTGTTTTTTGAAATAAAATGTACAGTTTACCTTAACCTTGTGTACTCATACTGAAAAGCAGCTGATGAGAACATACCCATCTGGCATGAGAATTGACTCATCAAATTTCAATCCTGTCATTTTCTGGGCTTTTGGTCTCCAGATGGTAGCCCTCAATTATCAGACTGAAGGTAAGATTTATGTAATGACTAACTGTCAATATATATGTTCCTGACTGAACTAAAGAATAAAGGTTTTAGGATCTTGTATTGCCACAATTGTGAAAATGATGAAAGTAGATATTTGGTATTTCAGTTACATGATAACTATAAATTGCTCTTTTAAAATGCCTGAGCCCTGAAGTAAAAGTTGTGTATCATGTATCAACTTAATTAATGAAAAGGCTTTAACTGTCACATGTTGCGCTCAAACTCAAATATGCTTGGATGACGACGAGGAGGTTTTTTTTAAAACAAGTTTGATTACCCATGCTTGGATCGGTTTACTTCAAACTTTTATATTGCTTTTGGGATTGGTAAAAGAAATCTCCTTTTGTATTAAAAAAAAAAAATTTTGATTGGTCATTCAAGAACAGCTTGACTTATGCTGTCAGATTTTTCATATCATGCACTAACTTGAGTGCTTAGATCAATTTACTTAAAACTAAACACTGTTGTTTAAATTTGTTATAGTAAGCTTCCTTGCATTTTCAAATTGTTTAGATTTGTCATTCCAGAAATACTACAAGCGATACTGCAATTTTACAAGAAACCTACAATTAGCAGTCTTTTAGATTATAATTTTTATTGAATTTTTAGACAGAGCAATGGCCCTCAACACAGCAATGTTCGAACAGAATGGACAGAGTGGATATGTACTGAAGCCAGCTGTCATGTGGGATAAAAGTCACATGATGTACAATCATTTTAATCCAATGGACAAAGAATTTGATGGTTTACATGCTACTTTACTTACATTACGTGTATGTTTTTTTTTTTCTTATTACTATTTTTTTTAAAGAACATAAACCAAGTCAGGAAAATTCTACCATATGATAAGTTATAAATCTTTTTCTTGAAATTCTGCACATTTTACAAAAAAAAAGGCTGGAGTGTTGCTGATGAAGGTTAATCAAGAAAAGCACTTTGGATGCAACAAATTTATAGAGTTTTAATTTTATTTATTGAAAGTTTTCTTTATTACCAGAAATATATTTAAATTAGTTATTAACTGTTAAACCTACCTCTAAATTATAACAGTACTTTTGGGTTTACTTTGGTTTTTTTGGCAAAAGTCTTATTATAAGTTGAAGTAAGAGTAATAAAAACCCCAAGTAAACCCAAATGTACTGTTATAATTTAGAGGTAGGTTTAACAGTTAATAACTAATTTAAATATATTGCTGGTAATAAAGAAAACTTTCAATAAATAAAATTAAAACTCTATAAATTTGTTGCATCCATCTACTCTTACTTCAACTTAAAATAAGACTTTTGCCATTACGAAAATGTATAACCGTTTGACAATTAAATCAAATATGCATAACTGTTCTAACATTGAAAAGGCATATTATTTAATGTTACAATTATTGAGAATTCATTCATAAGTAATTTTCCCTTCCAACAATTCAAATATGGGATTGGTTTTATTTGTAGGTTATATCTGGACAATACATAAGTAACATCCATACAGCCAGTACTTATGTGGAAGTGGAAATTATAGGAATACCTGTGGATTGTGCCAAGCATAAGACTAATGTGGCCTCCAGAAACTCTTTGAATCCAATCTGGAATGATACCTTTACTTTTCAGGTAAGATCGGTCGTCTTTGTGTTTCCCTACACATCAATATGCTATATGAGAGGTGAAAGGACCTTTTTCAGGAATTTAAGAGTGAGCTGTTGAATTTCGTCAGGGATTCAGGACTTCAGGATTTAAATATATCATGATACGGGAACGGCACATTATTTTCTTGGGAATTAGGGATTAGGGATTTATTTTCATGGGAATTTGGATGAGACCCCCTTCCACCCCCTCCTATATGAAAATAAAGAGATGTGGCATGATTGCCAATGAAACAACTATCAATCAGAGACCAATGGACGAAGATTTCAACAACTTAAGATCACCATATGGACCAACAATAAGCAAATTCCATACCCAATATACTAATATTATCATAGTTAAATTTTACTAGATGCAGAGATTTGATCGATATACAAAGGCTCGTCAAAAAAATATGTTATATTTGAAATACAATGTACTTAAAAGTCATAAAATTTCAGCATCAGATATTTTTGGTGAAAAAAGTTGCCGGCTCATAAGAACGGGGTTTTGACAGGGGATGTAAAATGAATGTATATCCTTACTTTAAAAAAGACAAAACATATGGGGAAAATGTAACGGACATTTGGAGATGCATAATCACAAAAGTGTACTAAAATATACCTCATGTTAAGAATCCTTGGTCATGGCCTGATATATGTATTGCAGCATATTTGTTGGTTGTTCATGTATAGGTTGACTTACATTCTTTGTTCCCTAAATTGAATTGCATTATTTATTTTTTTCTTTCTTTTTAATTTTTTTATGATACCAAGTATCATAAAACTGCTTATAAATAACATGTTAAATTCTAGTATCATTTAATGTTACTTTCTAGTAAATTGAATTCTGGTAAATTAAAACATAACCATTGTCTTCATTGTCTGCACCAACATATTGTAAACAGCTATATATTTAGAACTTATTTTTGTGTTGAATATTTTTTGATGAAAATTTCTTTTAAATGCATGATGATCAAAAATAAAAATTACATATTGATTATTTTAGATAATGTTCCATGACTTGGCTTTCATTAGATTTGTAGTGATAGATGCCAGCACCAATCATATCCTCTCTCAGAGAATTATACCACTTAGGTGCCTGAGACCAGGTATAGTAAACCTTTAATATTATCACATCATAAACCATCCATGTGAAAAAAATATTGCGGTGGTTTATTCTAAATAGATTGTAAGGAAGACATTTTATTTTAACACTATAATTGATACAATTTATTCCTCTTCTTGGAAAGTAGAACTGGTTTAACACAACGAAAACAATACTATATCAGTACAGGCTATGATTCAGTTAAAAATCACTCTTGGTGGAGAATTTTCACCACAGTGAATGCTAGTAATTAATTATGGATGATTCACCCCAAAGTATTTCTATGTATCTTCCATAGATAAAAAATGACAGAGAGAATGAATTAAGGAGTTGTCACCTACAATCACTATGTTTCACAGTGAATCACTCGACACAGCAAGAGTGATTTTTAACTTACTGTGGATTCACTTACTTTCGTGGGTACCAATTTTCATGGATGAAGGGAAAACTATTTTTGTGGATATATGATTTCATGGTTTTGTCAAAGTTTGTATACAAACATTGACATAATTTCTTCTTTATTGAACATCTAAATTCTTAGTTTACTTATACCCAAGAAATCAACAAAAATTGGTATCCCTTGAATATATTAATGAATCCACAGTAATCAACCTTTGTTTATGTATTTCAAATATAATCTGTACGATATACATACGGTATGATTGTGATATATATTTTACAAACTAAATAATTCAATTTTTTATCAGAATGTGCATATTTTTTGCAGGGTACAGGCATGTGAGATTAAGAAATGCTAGTAACAAGCCGTTAGAGCTTGCCACTTTGTTCATCTGCTCTAAACATGAAGAAGAACTTTTAGACATGTGTAGTGGGGAAAACAACAATGAATATTTGGACTATTCATCAGCAAAACGAAGATCATTTGCTAAGGTCAAAGATTCTTCTGAAAGTGGAAGAGATGTAAGTATTATTGCAAAAATTTGAAAACCAGATTTGTTTAGATGAGATGAATTATTATTATAGATTCAAATGTGTTTCTGATATCAAATAAAAAAGTTATATATAGCCAAGTTAGTTTTTTACAGGTGTATGAGCTGTCTGTTTACTAAAGATGATTTGCTGAAGAAATCAGCCCTTAACAAAATATTCTTTTTTTGTAACCGCATCATACCTTTTTCAATTCAACAAAGGAGTAAGTTTGGTAAGGGCCATATTTGGCCCCTATTATTAAGTTCAAAGTTTCAAGAAAAAAAAATGTTCTATGGTGATGAAAAGACCAGTGAGGAAGTTAAATAGAACTATTTTTGTCCAAGTTTTTATTTTAAAACGTTGGGTTTTACATCCAAAGTAGGCCAAAAATATACATTTTTGCGAATTATTGTCCGGATTGCTACCAAATTAAGGCCTATGAAACATAGAGCGCAGGCATTGACAAACTAAATATTCCAGTCAGATATGTGAAATGTTATAACAAACATTATGTGGAAAATCTTTTTTGTAGATGCATGCACTCTATGTTTCCTGTCCAAAATATCAATGGAAATTTACCCCTTTTCATTGAATTTTCTTGAAAAATCAAATTAAGGGATATTTGTGACGTCATGAATAATAGAACGCAAGTCCGTAAATTATCAACAGAAAGACATATTTCCTATCCAGTCACAGTATTGGCTATGATTCATGGTGATATTGGTCAATAAATCCTAATTTGAAATTGTAGCTAGAATTAGGGGTCATTTGAGGGCCTTATTGAACCTACTCCATTATTTATTTTCTTGTAAACACAATACTTCTAATATTATTATTTTCTGTTTCCCTTATTATGAAGTCAAATTGTTTTTGAATAAAAGTGACTTGTTATTTATAAAAAAAAAAAATTTCTACTGGTTTCCTTATCTTTTAGTTACTAGTCCCAGTTGGTGCTAGAAAGAGGAGAATGTTTTTCATCAGTGTTTATGGAGTTAATGACCCTGATGAGTATGTTATCCTGAAGGTCACACAAGATACATCTGTATATGATGCCATTGCTCAGGTATATAAACTTTAACAACCAAAACAAGACATGTGTTAACCAATTTTCTTTTAACTTTTCAATTCAGCTAATTTTTAAAAAAATGGTTAAAAGATAAATAAGTTTGTTCATGTGTTTTAATTTAAATTTTAGCACTTTGGAATATAAAATATATCAATAAAAGTTGTTTTCTGAAGAAAACCTTCTGAAATCATAATTATATTGAGAAAATAGTTGTTTTTTTCCAGAGAAGGATTTTTAAAAGAATTTTCTGGCCTGTTATAACTGTGAAAAAATAACTTTGCCAAAGACCGCATAAAAATTAAGTTTGCTGAATAAAATATTGGACAATGCAGGAATTAGTTGTGTACACAAATGAAAATATTTTTTGAGAGTAGCAAGATGGGAGTCACAAACATAAAATTAATTGAAAGTCATGATGAACGAAACTAATTTTGACCAAAAAAACCTTTACCATCTTCTTTTATTCTTTAGGCATTGAGTAAGGCTGGGAAGGTTGATGATATTATAACAAACTATGTTTTGGTGGAAGATGTTCAGAGTGGATGGGAGAAAAAGGAACAAGAAAGAGCAAGTGAGCAGAGAATCCTGGACATGACTGAGAAAGTATTACAGGCTCAGAATAGATGGACTGGAGCAGGGAAATTTATTCTTAGGAAAGTCAGTGATGTAAGTTTCTGAAGATCTAACAGTTTAAAAAAGGGAAAAAATACTTATAAAATTAATTTCCATTGGAATATTAACATTTAGTTGTTAATTTATGTTGAAATTCTCCAAGACTTATTGACTTATTGTCAAATGACTGTTGATTTTATATCGATATGATTTTAAAGATGTTCTATTTGTTCATTGTACTACAAATATGATCCCCTAGACCACTGGTTATATATTTTAGCAGCTGAACAGTTTGGATTGTTTATAAACATACAAATTGCAATTGGATCTAATTTTTTTGTAGACTGCAAAGAGAGAGAGTTAAACTGTAAAATTGATGTCATAGTTTACATTCTGACACTGATTTTCAAATTTGCAAATAAAATAAAAAACAGAAATCAAACAAATCATATCATATATATGTAATAGTAAGAAATGTTTTACACAATAAAAAAAGGTTTTAATTTTGTTTGAAGGATCCTAGCAGTAGAGCTTGGATTACAACCATGCTGTCCAGGGAACGACAGGTTGGTAAACTTAGTAAATAAGTCAAGTTTCATCAAGGTTCTTTAGTCGTTCAAGAAAGTTTAGAGTTTACCTATTTGGTTGTCAAGTAAAGGACACATTTCCATTATCTATGTACTTTTAAAGAACATGTTAAATCTTTCAGGAAAGATAAATATGTTGGGATTTTCTCACATCAGAGTTATTATCCAAATATTCAGAAAAAACAGTTGGAAATTCAATTCCATTGATGTTCACTCTTTTGGTGTATAAATGCAACAATTTATGATAAAAGTGTTAAATTATATAAAAATTTTAGATCTGAATCAACAGAGAAAAGAAAATGGTATTTTCTAGATTAAAGCTAAATTAACATTCACAAATTTGTTTAAGACATTAAATTTTAAAAGTTGAAAAACTAATTATTTTTTTCCAATGTATTATTTTACTTCCTTCAAATTACAAAATGTATTATGCAAATTAGTGAAATTCATATGTTATAATAAATAAACTCCTGCCAGTTCTCAAGTAGTAGTCACATGATGGTCACATGATGGATATTGAAATTTTTTCAGAGAATTAAATGTGAGAATGATGCTGCTGATTGGGAGAGTGTGGAACAAGTGTTTATTGTCTGTGTATATAATGTAGCACCAGACCAACCGTACACAATATTCAAGGCACCAATATCCAGTACAGCTCAAGATATCATTACACAGGTAACTTTCACACTTAAGAGGAATTAAAGGTGTACAATATATCATTGAGACAGTCACACAACCACTTAAAAAATCCAACATGTAGATGTCAATATAGAAAAAAAAATAAAAACATTAAGATGTGGATTACCTTAGTTGTATTTGGCAAAACCTGTGAAAGCTTTCAGGAATTTTTGGTCCTCAATGCTCTTCAACTGTGTATTATACTTGGCCTTTTCTTATTCAAGTGTCACTGATGAATCTTTTGAAGACAAAACATGTGTCGGGTGTCCAAAATTAGAAGCCCTGTTGTCTTTGATGAGTTTTTTTTTATAAGCACCAAGAATCAATGACCTAATTCCTGAGTAGGAATGTAATTGGATGTTTCTTAAACTTACATTTAATTTGGTATTCTGATTTATTGAAGAACTATATATCGAATTTTACTGTGCATACAAACTCAAATTATATACATATCATGTTTTTCTTATTTCTGTCCATAAGTGTGGAATTCACTTTCTTGTGAAATATAAAAAAATAAAAACTCTATCTGCATTCAAATATTCTTACAAGTCATTATATTTTAAACAGAGGGGTATAATTGTAACTTCTACCAATATGAAGGCAATTGTTTGAATTATATGGTTAACATAATATTTTGTAAAATAAAGAGCCTTGTGGAAAATTGGTGAAATTAAAATGAAATACTCTTAAAATAAAGATTATTTGATGTATGAAAAAAACCTGAAATAAAATGATCCATAGGACAGGTTTCTAGCACACATATGAGTCTTCTTGGAAGTTTCCCTTATAAGCTGAAGTATTTTTATATCATAAATGTTGACTATTATTGTACTTCTTTTACATTTGGAAATTTTAAGGTCTATGGTTAGGAAAAGAATTTTAACCATTAAAAAATTAAAAAGTGACCATCTTTTATAAAATGTAAACTCTTTACTACTGGCAGTGTTATACATTTGTCTGGTGGTATTGATAAGAGGATTAAAAGATAAAGATGATAAGCAGGGCTGAAAAAAAAAAGAATATACTTAAATTATTTAGCTATGTAAGGCATGTCTGATAGGGTAAATTAATTGAGTAATACTTTTGGATAATTTTCAGGCCATGATGAAAGCCCACAGATCAGATCCTGAAAATTTGAGGAAGTTTGTGTTAGTTGAAGAGGTAGAATGTCCCAGTAGTGATACACAGAGTCCACATGCCAGGCGGCACAGCACTGACCACCCAGACAGACGCATTCTTGATGATGATGAAAATGTTTACCTGGCTCAGAGAGAATGGAAAACAAATGGAAAATTTATTATAATGGACAAAAGTCAAGCAGAGCATGATATTATACATGTAATATACTCATATTTTAATACTACATATCTGTAATAAGATAAGATAAAATACTGCTATCGTAGCAAAAAAAGCAATGCATTTTATCACGTTTTTATTGAGTTTGTAATTTTGTTCATGGATTTGTCATCATCTAAAACATATGTTATTTTCAAACATCCTTGTATTTTTAGGGTTAATATTGATTTGTACAACATTTGTTAATAAGTAGTATGTTGCTACAACTCATACCAAAATTATTCTTTAATTAAATGTTTGAGGTTTTTGAAAGATTGAATTTTCTTGGAAATAATTCTTTAATTATGATTAGGAGTAATATTTTGAAAGCAAACATCGTTTTTAAGTCAAGTTCTTTTCAGAAATCCTTATTATTTTTATTTTTGCCACAGATTGAGAGAAAAAAGAAAGGATCATCAAAGAGTGGACCATCAAAAGGAGGAACAAGTAAAGTCCAACCAAAGAAAAAATCCACCAAGACTCAGTCTCCTGATAAAACTGAGACAAGTACTGGTATGTTCACTTTGTTCACTCATTCTCCTGATAAATCTGAGACAAGTATGTGCACTGTGTTCACTCAGTCTCCTGATAAAACTGAGACAAGTACTGGTATGTACACTCATTCTCCTGATAAATCTGAGACAAGTATGTTTGTACACTTTGTTCACTCAGTCTCCTGATAAAACAGACAAACATGACACTTTGTTCACTCAGTCTTCAGATAAAACTGAGACAAATATGTACACTTTGTTCACTCAGTCTCCTGAATAAAACTGAGACAAATATGTACACTTTGTTTGCTCAGTGTCCTGATAAAACTGAGACACATATGTGCATTTTGTTCACTCAGTCTCCAGAAAAACTGAGACACATATGTGCATTTTTTTCACTCAGTCTCCTGATAAAACTAAGACAAATAGATACACTTGTTTATTCATTCATTTTGATAAAACAGAGACAAATATGTACACTTTGTTCATTCATTTTCCTTATAAAACTGAGACAAGTGTATGTATATACACTTTGTTCACTCTGTCTCCTGATAAAACTGAGACAAATATGTACACATTGTTCATTCATATTCAAAAGAAGCAACAAGGAATTTTTGGATGTGAACAGTTCAGAGCGATAGGGGTAGTAATAAATGCAGAGAAGGGTTTTGATTACTTTGAACATTACTTTGGCAAACTTAGAATGAAAATAAAGAGAATATAAATATGATAATTAATCTGTCTTGGAATGAATGATCTTTATAAATCAATATTTTTTTTAATTGGCATATTAGATAGATATTATTCAATTATTTATAGGTACCAAGCTACCCACAACATCAGGTGCATGGCAAGGAAGTCCTTCATCTCAGTCAGGATCTACCCTCAAGAGACTGTCAGCCAAGTTTTCACACAAGCTTAGCAAATGAAGAACTAACCACCAAGAGAACATTTATTTCCAAGAATAACAGCCAAAGTCTTGAGTAGTTACACTCAATAATTACATCAAGATATTTCACAGATCAAAAGTAGAACTTGGAATTTTAATTGCAGGAATACTGTTACGACTTTTTATTCCAATTTTGCATGAAAGTCCAGAAATGCCATTCTTATTGCAGTGAAAAATATTTTTGATATTTGCTGCATTTTTTTACCAAAAAATTCCAAGAAAAACTCTGCTGAACAAGATATATAGACCATTTGAAGTGCAGAATTGACAAGGATAAGGGTATTGTTATGATTTTCATACAATTTAAATGTCACCAGTTCAAACATTGAGAAGTCGATGAAAGTGAAAATTTTACATACTTTTTTGTGTTATCATAATTGGTGTCAGTTTCATTCATTGTCATAAAAGAAAACATCTATTATGACCCATGTACAAATCTGTGTTATTTTGTAATGAAGTTTGAATGGTTGGTTTGTGCAGTTAAAGGGAGTTAGTACATGATTTGTAGATTAAATTGTCTCCCTTCACCAACACTGTGAAATATATACTTTACAATTTAATGCATGAGCATGCATTTTTTTAAGATATCACAAAAAGATCTCTATTTGAAGTGCATATCTGCTCTGTTATTTAATTGTGTAACAGATGTTGCTATTTCCAGGTCAATTGAGACATTAAAAAATTGTGTACTTGGACAATATAGTTGTAATGTGTAATTGCTTTAATGAATGAATATGTGTGATATAAATCAGTTGACTTTAAGAGGAGATTGTTATAGAAATAATTATTTAGATGTAAAACATACTTTGTTTTAAACCTATTTCTGATGTTGTTAAAGAAAATATTCAGAGGAAACTATTAAATGCATGTAAACTTTGAAACAAAGGCATTGAAGGATCTCACCATAAAACCTAATTGTAAGGTGATTTATCACCATATTTTTAACTCTGATAACACCAAATATGGTATAAAAGAGTTAATTATAGTTCAAAAAAAAATAAGAAATATAGAAAAATGGTAAAAAAATAATGAACAGACAATAATTGGGTGCTACAATATTAAGAAACAAGAAAAATGGTACAAGATACTAATTTTTGGTATTGTAGTTGTTAGAATTAAGAAATTCATGTTTTTTTGTAATTACAAAATTAATAGTCACTAAATTTCACTTGTTAAATAGAATCCAACAAAAAATAATGTTTTGTTTGTGAAGCTAGCCAGATATGGATGTTGTAACCAACAGAAATCTATATTGATTATTTTTTTGCAAGATTTTTATGTAAAACAAATTTTGTAAAGTAGATCTTAGCTATTATGTTTGCTGAAGTATGTTTGAGCCCCAGTAGTTACACAATAGAATGAATAAAACATAAAGGATTAACTTGTTAGTAGAGCATTACAGCCTAAGCTGTGTATGTGCTTACCTATTGTTTTGCAACTGATCAGTTCTCCTTTAAAATTTAAAATTTGTAAGTTATTGAAAAGACCAGGGATACGCCTTGATTCCCATTTTCTGTGAAACTTGAGAGTTGGTTTTCAGTAACTCGTCATTTAAACATTCTTCATGACATACTCGTATGTGGATCTTACATCTGGATTTGTAATTTACATAGTTAACAATTCTTAAAGAATTGTCATCGGACCATGTATCTCTACATACAATTAGAACAGAATTGACCACTTGCAAGGAAACTGGTTAATACATGTATAGTTTCAGCTGTAAAAGGTTAAAACATGTATGGTTTATGCTGTAGAATAGACATAGATGTTGAAATATTAGTTGCCAGTGTCAAATTGTATAAAGAAAATTAATTTAACCAACCTTAGAAAATCAAAATGTTGATAAATGTTATAAGCCATTTGTGTTTATCATTTGCTTTCAAATGTTATTGTGATTTTATCAATGTTATTGTGAATTTTTGTTGATTTTTACAGTTAAAAAAGATATTTTTACCATTCCAAAGGAACAAAAATAAAATTATTTATTTGTGTCTTGTTCTTCATTTTTTGAAATTAGTTCCCTGATCTATTTAATTGTAGTAAAACATATTGGTCTTGATAGACGAATTGGTAATGTGTTACACAAAAGATGTATCATACAGATACTCCAACTCAGAATTGAACATACCACATCACTGCATTTATAGCACTTTCTTATTAATCTGAAATGGACTTTTTAGAGGTGAAGATTTAGAAAGACAAGGATTTAAAGGTCCCTTAATTAGTAGTCCAGTTGTACTTGTTGTTCTGTTGGTAGATTCTCTCATCACTCTACTCTACACAGAGTGTACTCTGACTACACTAATGAAAATGGTTCCAAATCAGCTCCAATTATTTGAAAAATACTAATACTAGATCGTCCAGAATGTGATAAGATATGTCTGTTATTTTCTATCAATATTCCACAGGCACCCAAAGTGTCTCTACAAATAAAACTGCTATGATATGTACCGATTATCAGGTTGTCTGCATATTGATATCGTAAAATATCAGCTGCGAGTCACAATATGAAGCTTTTTGTCGAGTGAGCGCAGCAAACGAGATCAAAAAGGCTTCATATTGTGTCGAGCAGCTGATATTTTACAACATGAATATGAATACAACCAGATAATCAATTTATCGGGATGTATTTGAGTATTTAGCATGATAGAAACAAGTGTTTTCTTTGTTTCATAAGCAAACCGGAACACGACGTGATAAGTTCGGGTCAAACTTATCAACGTCGGTTCATATATTATGACGTCGGTGATATGTCCGGGTCAAAGTTAGATTCTAAACATTCTTCATGACATACTCGTATGTGGATCTTACATCTGGATTTGTAATTTACATAGTTAACAATTCTTAAAGAATTGTCATCGGACCTGTTAATAGCGATCAATATACCAGTACCAATCCAAAGGACATTTAATCAGATGTAAATTGTGTGCCCATGTCAATAAACAGTTCTCTTGAAAAACCTACTAGTCAAATAATTTCAATCAATGCTTCTGCTACCCTTTCCATTTCAATGGATGGTAAAGCTACTCATTAAGGAAACCTCTTAGTGTAATCTACGAATGTGAGAAAAAAGCGATCTCTTTTAACAATGAATGGTATTCACAGTCAAACTATGTCTCCAGCTATTCTACGAAAGGTACAACTATAATAAGGGATGACGGAATCTACTTATTCGATTAAATATGGTGATTTACATTTTATATGCAGAATTTGTTTCCTATATGGTAAAACTTGCATTCGTTCAGTTACGCTTCACAAAATATTGCTTTCGTTTACCTACATATACGGTTTTATTTATACCAGTTTGATCAGAGGCTGCTCACTCTCGACCTCTTCTTATACTTTATCTTTAAGCAGTGGCTATTTTGCTGGCTCTGGCAAAATAGCCTTTTAGGTGCTTTTTCACCAGCTCTGGCAAAATAGCCTCCTTAGTTTTGTTATTTTGCCGAACTTATTTCAGATTTGTTTCTCAGACTAAATGAAATAATCTTTTTATTGAATTCATTGACGTCCGAAAATGAAAGACTACACTTCGTTGTCAAAAAACTTGAAAATAAACGCTATGTTCGACTCATATGAAGAGCTAAAGCAGGTTCTGAGGCACTTTGAAAAGGACAACTATGCACAACTGTGGAAACTTGAGTCAAGGACTACAAAATTTATGAACACTAGAGCACCAAACAAAACCTTTAATAACGATCTAGTCTATGGTGCGAAATTGTCCGTCATTCAACATCTTTCAAATGATTTAACCAACCTTTAATAACAATCTAGTCTATGGTGCGAAATTAAACCAAACTTGGTATACACTTTGCACTAACAAGTGCATTCTAATGTAGTGCATAATATTACAAACCTAAAAAACAAATAAAACAATTCTGTTATTCTCGTATATAAACAAATCATAAACAAACTATTTTTAAAAACCCTATTCAATAAGTATTATGTGCAGTTCATGTGTGCTGTGGCAGCATCTTTCTTGTGCAAGACTCAAAAATGCACAAAAGCAAGGCACTGGTTTTGTAACACTAGTAAAGCATTTTGAAGTTGTTGAATTTTTACTATTTTTACTATTCATGTAATTTCAAAATGTATGGGATACATTTTATAAGCATGCTTTGCTCATGTATAAAAACTTTAAAGAAAATCATTTTTTTAGGGATTTCTTATTAACATGTTAAAGTGTATGTTTCTGCATTTTTTTTTCGTTTGGTCAAGGATTTGTATAGTGAGACTATACAAATCCTTGGTTTGGTAAATAATATACTGAAAAATATGAATTAAGACTGGCAAAATAGCAAAACTCTGTATAAATCGCTATTTTGCTGGAGCCGGCAAAATAGCTACTGCCTTATCTTTAATACAACATGGATCCTTTAATTTTGGGAAAGTTTATTCCTTTTTTTTGCTGCTGAGTTAATACTCAACTGACCAATTGAAGCGTCTGCAATAAACGTGGTGAGCGCAACAAAAAGCATGGTGTCAAATATTCCCCTGGCGACGCGAATCATTCTTTTCAAGGCTTTTATCTGAATTGTAAACGAAATTCTTGAAAGGATCTTGTCGATTCTCAAGTTGTCAATTGCACGTAAAAAATTGTTCTACGGTCGGATCGCCGGAAAGAGTTCACTTGGCCTCTAATAACTGAAGATTCTGACGGCGTTTATGAATGCTGAAGGACAAATTCAATCGACAATTTCGATGAGAACAACTCTCGTCACTTAACATGTAAAGAGAATAGTCCATTATGATGGTTTTTTAGTTAGCGTATTCACCATGGGTTCTACGTGAAACTATTGTCCATGGTCCAAAGGTTTCTACTCTAACGTTAGTAAACGCAGGTGATGGTTGTTACCTTGATTTGTATCTTCTTAATGGATTTATGAGATATGATCACCGGTTAACTAATGTTGTCTCTAATTCAAGGCGGTCCTCTGTAAATTCAGACATGAATTGGCACTATTTGATTTGCACTAGGCGATCCAGAACCCTGCTGATTTTGGTACTCCATCTGTGATGTGGCGATCTGGATGTTTGATCTGGTCATGGTTTTGTCGGTCTAATAAATACCTACATGATGGCATCCGTTCTTTTATCGAAGATAGATTAGACGATACGGCCTGATACTCGCTCGTCAAAAACGGATTGAGATAATCAATCGATCTTCGTTTTGGAATTGGCACTCGCCGTCGTTGGCAATTTATTTACTGGAAATACAGGAAGTTTTTTTTTGTCCGATGTTTTACATTATTGCGAAAACTGTGACTGGATAAGTTTTGCAAAAATATAAACGCGAATTGGTACTTTGGATTACATTGTTTGTAGACAACAATACCTGTAATCGCAATAATTAATCCCGCATTTTTTCCTCATGTTCAGCAATCGCAATAATAAAATGCACGCATGCATAAATTATAATTGGAATTTACAGTTATCTCCGAAGAAGTCGAATTGTGCCGTCTTTATAATTTAAGCTTTCTTGTTAATCTCCACCAAAGTCACTTTGCCTCTCCTTGCCATTGTTAACAAGATAAACGTTCAAAAAGGCACACGTGTTGTCAAGTTCGAGAATAGATGGAATCAATTACTACCGATACTGTTACGCTTAGGTACGGCATATGTCCTTCGAACATTGAACGGTTGAACGGATGTCTCGATCATCATCTGGACAATCTAGTTGATGATTGTCCTATTAAGTTTTTTTTCTGTTTTGAGGTTAGAAGTTGTTTCGGTCCTAGTAACCATTCACTACTGCGAAGTTCGTGAGCTTGCACGGTTTCCAATGGATTACAATTTGTTGGTAAGTAATTTCATTGGCACGAAAAAACTGATTCTTGAATCCTTCTACTCTATTAGCGACGTCGATAAATAATCTCATGATCTCATTATTAATGATACCTAAGACCACTTAACTGTCTGTATAGCATATAACTATGTCTATAATACAATGAAGATTATCGACGACGCAATTGTCAATACGGCATCACAATCGATGAATGAGGTAACTAGTTGTTCGTAAAACTTTCGCCCTCTATGTTGTTGGTCATGCGGAGGTATGACTCAATTGTTATAGCTCCATCAAACGAATCAGAGAAAATGTGTGTCTCAATCGCTATCAGATGATATCTCCAAGATTTTACTGAGTGATCCTCTCTGAGTGATCGGATTTGTGTCTGAGTGACGCTATTGAACTGAAAGCAACTTCGGTTGTTGGTATTTACGTCCGATCTTCATTAAAGTAAGCCTTCACTGCACGGCTTAAATGTTCTCTTCTACGTCCTTCAGCCAAATCGAAATCGTGAAAAAGCTGACATATAATCTTTCAGAAAAAATTAGAGGCGACTATGTCATCCTTAGGTTTTTAAATGGCTATTCCTTGCTGTGTCTCGTTCATGAGTTTGACTGCTTCTTCCTTTAAAGAGTAATATGTAACAGTAAGACCTACGACTTCGACGTTCCTTGTCACAAAATGTGTCACGCAACAATCAAGTTCTTGTTCTGGTGCCTGATCAGTTTCCCTGTGTATAAGCGGCGTATTGCTGCAGATGGACTATTCCCGAATGCATGTATATTCGTTGTCTCTATGCCGATAGAATGAAAAAAAAAATCAGGAGGTCTTCTCTTACACCGGAACATGTGATGGACGTCAGCAGTAGCAGCGACAATTTCTAAATATTTCACAAGAATTGACCATAAACAGGACACTGTTTTGTAGATTCCAAATTTCATTGTTCAGAGGAAATGAACGCATACTATTCGATTAAGTCGGGTTTTATCTATAATTAAGACGGCCACTAAACAGTGGTATATAAATATCCGATAGTGGAGCATGTTTTGCATGATACATTTTTGTAAATGTCAAAAAATATACTCATAAATGTAAGAAAGTTCTCCTGTTGTACCGTGTTCTTACTAAGATGGCGTCTAACAGCTTTGCACGATGGAAAGCTTGCTTTCTGATGTTTGGCACCGGTTATTTTTGCACACGGTT